CTACCAGCATGTCTTAGGAGTGTGGGAGGAAACCGGAGTACCTGGAGGAAACCCACACAGTCACAGGGAGAACATGCAAACTCTAGGCAGGTGGTGCCAGGGTTGGGATTTGAACCAGCGACCATAGTACTGGCAGGCGGAAGCACTAACCATTTAGCCACTGTTCTGCCCAACTTACATTTATACAAGGGCCAATTTAGACAGGAGCCAATTAACCTGCCAGCCTGTCTTTGGAGTGTGGGAGGAAACTGTAGTACCCAGAGGAAACCCACGCAGGCACAGGGAGAACATGCAAACTCTGAATGAGCCCCAAGGCTAAGTTCACACTGGCAAATAATTCTAGCCCTAACCCAAACCAATGTGCCTATAGCATTAACACATTTCTGACACATTTAGCCCGGGTTCACACTGATGCGGTACGGAATTTGCAGCGGTTTCTGTGTGAATTTTGTACATCACAATCGCATCCTGTTCATGCGAACCGCTGCAGGTGTGTATGTTAAATTAACGACACCCCGAAATCAGTTTGCAAAATGCGGTGTGATGTGCAGAATCGGATCACTTAGGTGTTAATACCCATGAGATCCGATTTTATTGCGAAGCAAAAAAAGGGTCCTGCACCTTTTTGGTGCGGATGCGGTGCAATCTAAGCCACACACAGAATTCGCATGTGATTCGCACAGGAATGTGGTGTTGTTCCTGTGTGAATCACATGCGATGTACAGCACCACAGAAGTGTGAACCCAGGCTAACGCTGTTTTAAAAAAAAATGTACCCCAGATGCCCTCCAGGTGAGTTTTGGCAGAAGTGTTTTTTTTTTTTTCAGTGATAATTGATAAACACTTCTCAAACACACTGTACCATAGAGTTAAATGGAAGGAGTTAACTAGTTTCAGCTCCTCCCAGACTCGACATTCATTTTTGCGGCAAAGCAACGCAAATGCTACGTTTTTCAAATGTGAACAGCTCTCTCTAAGTATTTGATCCCCTGCTGATTTTGAATGTTTGCCCACTCACAAAGAAATGATCAGTCTAAAAATTGCATGGTAGGTGTATTGTAACAATGAGAGACAGAATAGCAACAAAAAATTCAAAAGAAATGCATGTCTAATAAATTATGCACTGATTTGCATATTCATGAGGGAAATAAGTATTTGATCTTCTTCACAAAACATGACTTAGTACTTGGTGGAAAATCCCTTGTTGACAATCACAGAGGTCAGATGTTTCCTATAGTTGGCCACCAGGTTTGCACACATCTCAGGAGGGATTTGGCCCACTCCTCTTGGCAGATCCTCTCCAACACCGAACTTTCAGCTCCCTCCACAGATTTTCAATCGGATTAAGGTCTGTGGACTGGGTAGGCCACTCCAAGACCTTAATGTGCTTCTTTTTGAGCCACTCCTTTGTTGCCATGGCCGTGTGTTTTGGGTCATTGTCATGCTGGAACACCCATCCACAACCCATTTTCAATGCCCTGGCTGAGGGAAGAAGGTTCTCACTCAAGATTTGATGGTACATTGCCTCGTCCATCGTTCTTTTGATGCGGTGCAGTTGTCATGTCTCCTTAGTAGAAAACACCCCCAAAGCAGAATGTTTCCACCACCATGTTAGACAGTTGGGATGGTGTTCTTGGGGTCATAGGCAGCATTCTTCCTCCTCCAAACACGGCAAGTTGAGTTGATGCCAAACAGCTCGATTTTGGTTTCATCTGACCATAACACTTTCAACCAGTCCTCCTCTGCGTCATTCAGATGTTCAGTGGCAAACTTCAGATGGGCCTGGACATGTGCTTTCTTGAGCAGAGGGACCTTGCGGGCACTGCAGGATCTCAATCCTTGTCAGCGTAGTGTATACCAATTGTTTTCTTGGTGACTGTGGTCCCAACTGCCTGGAGATCATTGACAAGATGCTCACGTGTAGTTCTGGGATGATTCCTCACGGTTCTCATGATCAGTGACACTCCATGAGGTGAGATCTTGCATGGTGCACCAGACCTAGGGAGACTGACAGTTGTTTTGTGTTTCTTCCATTTGCGAATGATTGCACCAACTGTTGTCACCTTCTCACCAAGCTGCTTGGTGATAGTTTTGTAGCCCAGTCCAGCCTTGTGTAGGTCTACAATCTTGCCCCTGACAGGTGTCTTTTATACAGGTAACAAAATGAGATTAGCAGCACTCCCTTTAAGACACTGCTTCTAATCTCAGCTTGTTACCTGTATGAAAGACACCTGGTAGCCAGAAATCCTGCTGAATGATAGGGGATCAAATACTTATTTCCCTCATGAACATGCAAATCAGTGCATAATTTGTTAGACATGCATTCCTTTTGAATTTTTTTGTTGCTATTCTGTCTCTCAGTGTTGCAATACACCTACCATTCGATTTTTAGACTGATTATTTCTTTGTGAGTGGGCAAACATTCAAAATCAGCAGGGGATCAAATACTTATTTCCTTCACTGTATATTTCCAGTGGAGACTATAAGAGACCATGCTAATGCTTATTGATTCCACAATGGTCACCAGTAGGAAATTCTTACCGAGCAATTATTTAAAGCTATGACTGGAGAACATGTGTATATACACACAGGATGTGGCTGCAAAAGATCAGCAGCATCAATATGCAAAAAAAAAAATGGATGAAAAAAGTTAAAAACAGTATTTTCCAAAGGAAAAAAACATGGCAATTGTTTGTTACATAGTGCTTTAGTAAACTAAATGTCTTCCAGTTACAGTTTATATGTACACTAATCATCAAGAAATACTTCTCTTATAAGTAGTGAAACTGTCCATGCCCCGGACCTAATGTGCATTTCCACGTTTGCAGCCAAATTGGGGTAACACTTATTTTATATTTTTTTTACATGTTTTCATTTACAAAGCATAACTTTAGTAAAATTGCTTCTTACATGTTATTTTCTCTTTTATGAAAACTCAAAAAATGAAGTTTTCCTCTATTATGCAGAGGGGAATTTGGAGTTTATTACGAAGAAGCGTTCAAATCAAATCGGGACTTTTCAGTTTATATAATAAAAGAAAAAAATTCACGGAGTAGAAACTGCATACTTCTCTGCTACATTTATACACTTATCCCAGTTTTTAACTAATGCCTGGAAAGCTTTGGCATGGAAATAATTGTCAGTACTCCTGGACCATCCTAGGACAGCCTGCTTCACTTCATCATCATAGTGTTTAAGCGTTCCCACATAAAGATTTGTCTCTTGTGCAATTTCACGACAGGTTATGTGTCGATTATCCAGGACCAGGCATTCCACATGCTGAATGTTCACAGGAATGACTGATGTGGTCTGGGTACCACCACAGCCGGGACTGTCACTGATGGTCGTACGGCCATCTTTGAAATGTTTACACTATTCCAATGTCTTACTGCAGCTGAGCATCTCATCACCGCACTGTGCTTGAAGTCTTCTGTAGATATCCGTGGGTTTTACACCTTCCTTCACAAGAAACTTCATTACCATATGCTGTTCCATGCACACGCTAACACTGTTATCTGCCATCTTGATTAACAGACTCTGGACTGAGCCTGACGTGCGCCACCTATCAGTAATAGGACACACTTGCCACTTAATATTGTGTGTAATATCGCCACGCTAGCATCCCTTTTTATACTTGTAAAATTAAAAGTCCCAGTTTGACTTAAATGCCCTTCGTATAATTCACTGTGTCTGGACTGTGCTGGCAGATCTCAATATCAGCTATAAACTAGATTTAAATACTGTCTGTCCTAACAAAGGATTAAAGGGACACCAAACTCTGTTTAAAAAAAAAATTCAAGTATGTATTCTCGAAAAGTATCTTCTATTGCTCTCAGTGTCCTCCAAACCTCTAACATTTTTTTTTTTGCCGCTGTGATCTGACTTCCATTTAGAGGGTGGCTACCTTTATTCTCCATGTTCCCACTGTATAGGAACACAGCGTCTCTCTTTTTGCTTCTGAGATGGACTATGAACTATAGGATGTGTAGTGTGCATAGAGCTGTGCACATGACTGTAACTAATGTGCACTGCTTGTTCCCAAACAAATGGAAGTGAGAAGCAAAAGGAGAGGTTCAGGAGCTCACATAGGACATTACAAGGAGGCAGAAAACACAGGAAAAACTATTTCATGAAAAACAGATTACATGGTCATCAAATAGTTTGACTGACTTCACCTTAAAGGTCTAAAAGCTAGGCTTCTCCATTGTATGTTAATGAAGGGAAACTCAGTATGTCCCTCTTTGTCACTGGGAACAGATTGAGTTTCTTCCCAAATTTAACTGAAAAAGTGGAAATACACTTTATGTCTTTCTCTGCCTGTGCCCATTCCTTACAGTGTTGGGATACTAGTGCCAAGATGATATCACTTAGACCACGGGTGTCAAACTGGAGGCCTTCCAGCTGTTGCCAAACTACAAGTCCCATGAGGCATTGCAAGGCTGACAGTTACAAGCATGACTCCCAAAGGCAAAGGCATGATGGGACTTGTAGTTTTGCAACAACTGAAGGGCCGACAGTTTGACACCCTGACTTAGACCGACAAATGCATAGTTAAAATGTTGTCCTTTCTGGTTTGAATTCAGAGATGTTAACCAAGTGTTGGTAAGTAATATAAATAATGAGGAGTAGCCACTAAATGAAACAAAGGGGTTTATTTACTAAAGGCGAATAGACTCTGCATTCTGCAAGAGCAGTTCCTCCAAAGCTTAGTAAATGAGGTAACGGTTCACTTTGCAAATATCATCCAATCACATGCAAGGAAAATAGAAAAAACAACATTTTTGCTTGCATATGATTGGATGATGGAGGTCAGCAGAGGCTCTGCTCATTTACTAAGCTCTGGAGCAATTGCTCCTTGCAAAGTGTACAGTTTATTTGCCTTTAATAAATCAACCCCACAATCTTCTTGATGGGTTCTTCCATGTGAGCATTTTTAGTCGCTATCTACAATTGTGTATACAGTCAGACACATTAAAGTCTGGCAGAGGCAGTTATTCTTACCTCAGTTATTTCATTCAGATCTGCAATTTCTACCTCTCTCAGTTCAACAGTGCTCTGTAATACCATAATATGCTCTTTATTTTTCCTGTTTTCATCCTATGAAAACAAAGCATAACAAATCATTATAAAATAATATGTTACAATTGTGAACAATATTTGCACTTCACAAAAGAGGTAGTTCCCAGATACATAATAATCTTAAAGTGTAAATATAGCCGCCAAAACCTTTTTTGTCCGGTTTAGAGTTGGGAGTGCTTGAAATTTATTTTTTGCTGTCTGTGTTTTTGGGAGATTTTCCTTCACTTCCTGTCTTGGAGAAGCAACAGGAAGGGAGAACAAATCTTTACAAAGGGTAATCCTCCTCTTAGACAGTTACACTAAAACAGGTGTCCCATGGAAAGATTTAGGCCCCATTCACACCTGAGAGTTTTGTAGCTCAAAAATACTCAAAAAGCAAAAACCCATTGTATTCAATAGCCCTTGTTCACATCCAAGCATCTTGATGCTTGTAGCTGAATGCCTGTCGCTCCAAAAAGTACATGAGCTACTTTTTGGGCAGAATTGAGTGTTTATGGCCCCATGGACTTTAAAATGAATGCCTGAAAATGCTTGATTTCAGCAATTTTTTTTCAGGCGTTTTTAGCCTATATTAATTGATCTCCTACCCCTAGTGATTTCCATTAGCTAAAATAAAACGCATCAAGCTTGAATATACATGTAAACCGCCTGTAATACTCTTCTAAAAACACCTGTATACACTTGCAAAAATGCTCAAATAAGCTCAAGCAAAACTCGTGAAATACAGATGTGAATATGCAGCCATAAGCCTTGTACACACAATGAGAATATTGGATGAATGATCGTCTCTTTTTGTTTTTGCATGCTAGTTTCATATCGAAAATGAAGAGTTTACTAAAGTACAACACAATACTACTTCGGAAGTGATTGTAATGTACTATTTTGTTTCCTAGCATGCGCGGTCTTGGTCTCTCGATTTTTTTTGGATGAATACTGTACTGATTACACGAGAATTGTTCGTTCTGTCATCGTATGTGAGCATTTTGCATGAACTGTTGTGATCAGCTCTCGAAAGCTGTGTACTAACGATCAGATTATCGGATGATCGCTCAGAAAGCAGTATTTCTCATCCAATTTTCTCATTGTGTGTACTAGGCTTTACACTCAATTTTGTTGTGATGCCATCTTTAGAAATATTGAATTTTTCATAACTTACTATCTGAAACTGAAAATCTTCACAACAATAAAAAATGGAATGGGGTACTAATCCTTCTTTCTACCAATCAATCTCTACAAAATACAAATATTGGTGACACTCTGAAGTTAAAGAAACATGTCTATCTGCATAAAGGATGCCCAGGTACATCTGAAAAGTTGTGGGCAAATTGGCTGGATGTTCCTGGGTTAGTACCCATGATTCTGATCATAGTAAGGCTTTTGAGGGATAATACTGGGTAAGGGGTGTTGACTATGGGTTTGTTCCTTGTGCATTCCATGCATTTGTTATTGTAATGTTTTATGTATATATGTGTAGCACCCTCTGGTGTACATAGTTTGTAGTGTAGTTGAAGACTTGTTAGAAGCCTGGGTGTAAGTGAGTTTACTTTAAGCATGGCTGGAGGGCTCTACAGGTCAGGACTCTGGTACCTCACTATGGTTCTAGAAGCTTGGAGCAGTTTCTAGAAGCTAGTGGGTGGAGGGCAGAAGTTGCTGATCAGCATATTTATGGAAATCTGGCCAATCCCCAAGTGGGAGGACTGGCAAGGTGGCCTTATCAGCCCATAAATATGAGAGAGCCTGGCCAGCAGGGGAGTTGGGTAGAAGATGGAGAGATGAGGTGTGCTGCTGTGTTAGCCTGGGAGGGGACCTCAGAGAAGGGGGGTTCTGCCTCCAGGCTGGAGGTTGGAAGAATGGGAAAAGGAAGTTGACAGAGGGCACTCCACTGCCCTACAGTCCGCTAAGGAAGGACAGCCTGCAAGCCTGAAAGGGAAGCTCAGCGAAAGGCCTGAAAGCAGTTTTTCCAAAGCTTCAGGACACAAGTACAGTGTGAGTACCTCTACACCCCGGGGCCTACAAGAGAGAGGACTGCTAGGTGCTATACCCAACCAATTCTTCCTAGAACAGTGCTACAAGACTGTTGTAGAATCTCTTGCTCTAAGATACTCTTCAAAGACAGCCAGGTGGATGTGCAGTTTCTAGCTGTGATCTCCTCACAGAGACTATGCTACTGACCTGTCAAGAGACTAATGTCACTCTGAAGAGAGTAGAAAGTCCAGGAACCATTATTTTTGTACAGAAGTTTGTCCTCAGAGTTATTGTTTCAGGTCAAGTTGGACAGCCCATATACCCCTAGGCCTTATCCAAGTTGTTTCCCCAAAATAAAACAACAAAAACAAGCCCATGGACTGGTTACTGACTCTGAATGAAAGTTGGAAAACGCATGTTACCTGGCTGTGCAGGAAATAGGGGGACCCAAATACAGTGGCTCTCAAGGGGTAGCACTACAAATGGTTTGGATGTGTAGTGGTGCATTAATATTGCATTATTGAGATGTGAGATCACTTTGAAAAAATTTTTCTGGATTGTGACCTTCTTGGACAGTGTAATGTATGGTTATGTACTGGCTCTTTTTTTTTAATAAAGTTTTGATGCTGCATAAAAAAACAAAACAAAAATAAAAAACTAAAAGAATGACAAACAACCAAACACCCACCCTAAAAAAAACAAAAAAACAATACATATAACTATATCATTAGATGTCCTTAAAAAAACAGGGTTCTATTAACTGTCAATAGTTATAGCCTGAAAAATACATTCACCTGCTCCTCTGCCAGCTTCTGTTCCATGCTGGTCCTGGTCTCTTCAGCAGATCTGAGGTCTGTTTTAAGCTCTTTTATTTTATTTTCCAAGTCCAACAATTTCTTGTTCTAAAAGTAAAGTATACAAAAGTGTTCCTCAGAAGATAATACAGTATATAATAATAGCACAGGTATATCTTGTTGCATTACAGGTCAGTAGTCAGACCTAAACCTAGTAGCTTTGATGCAGTTGGCCAGCTTAAACATGTATTGCAATATGTGTGAACTGAAAATCGATATTTTTATTGCAAAGTTTGCTGGAAATGGTATATAGCAGTGTGCAGAGGGTTCTTTCAGAATTTCTAGTAATAATATGTGATTACACCCCTTTAGCACCTGATAGATAAATGAATGTACAAGTTATTGGGATTTGAGCCCAGGTATATCTTGTTTGTAGAATTGTCTAATGCATCCACCACATCTAAGGACTTGACATTTTTTGTTCTTGAATTTCTTGAATTTAGATATGATTTCAAACCACTTCAAGTCCGGACACTTTCACCCCCTTCCAGTCCAAGCCAATTTTCACCTTTCAGCACTGTCGCACTTTGAGTGCCAATTACTCAGTTGTGCAACACTATACCCAAAATAAATTTTTATCATTTTTTTTAGATGGATAGCGCTTTTGGTGGTATTTAATCACCACTGGGTTTTTATTTTTTGCTATATAAATGAAAATATAACATTTTGCAAAGTTTTTGTTATAAAATTTAGCAAATAAATTATAAATTTAGGCCAAAATGTATTCTTCTACATTTTTTGGGTAAACACAGTGTGTATTATTTATTCTGTGTGAAAGTTAGAGTCTACAAATTATGGGATATATATCTAAAATGCCGAACACTGGTATTTGGTAAGGCAATGATCAGGATGCTGGTATGCGGTATGGAGGTGATCAACACATTGGTATGAGGTATGGCAGTGATCAGGAAGCTGGTATGGTGTATGGCAGTGATCAGGCCGCTGGTATGGTGTGCAGCGGTGTTCAGGACTCTGGTATGGCGGTGATCAGGGTGTTGGTATGGCATATGGCAATGATCATGGTGCAAAAAACTCCAATGCCGTAAAACACTCTGCCGTACATGCCATTCCATCACCCATGGCCAAAAAGACTTCACAGTCAAAGGAACCACTAACAGGATTAATGGTTTCCACAATTGCCCATCAGAGTACATAGTCTACTGCATAAAATGCGCCTGTGGTCTATTCTATGTTGGAAGGACCATCCGGACACTTAGAAAGAGGTTAGGCAAACACAGACCCCTCATCGAGGATGGTTCAGATAGTGTCCCAAAGCACTTTCTAGAAAACCACAACATGTCCATAAGAGGACTTGTACTATGGGCTATTGAATCCGTCCCCCATTCTTTTCCAACTGCAGAAAGTTTTCAACGGCTATGCCATCGTGAAACCTTCTGGATTTACACCCTCGGAACCTTGGCCCCAGAGGGTTTTAATGAGGAAATAGAGATCCACACTAATCCCTCTAACCACCCATACCTTTGCACCTTTATGTTGGTTTTCTCCCTCTCCTTCTGTTCCCACTATGCTAAATGCTAGCTTCTTTGCAGCTGTCAAAATACCTGAACAGCTGCTGTTCATCCAACAAATTTCAGCCTGTCTTCTGATTTTCAGATTGAAAGATGTTGGGTAGGAGGATGCCGACAGGACCACCCACAGCTCGAATTTTGGCTGGCTCATCATTGACAGCTTTACCTGGCGTTATATAAAATTAGCCTGTTGTTTGAAATTGCATACTTTCTTCTCCTGGCAGGATCCTCTCCACTGACTATTAACCCTTCTTGCATCAATGGGTACCAGCAGAGAATCCATTGATTCAAACCTCACAGCAATGCCAACCAGTGCTTCGATTGTGTGTAGGATTTATAGGGGCATGAAACTAGGTTTCTTAAAGCCTCAGGCCTATGTATTATGGCAAGTGTAAGGGCATCGCAGCAGGATCACTTATCACAGCAATTTTATCATATGCAATTTTTTTTTGGAATAGCTCACTTCAGGTAATATCTAAACTAAGTCAAAGTATAAATTCTTTCTCTCAATTCTGTGGTTATGCTATTAATTGGACAGAATATAAAATTTTGTGGTCATCAGGAGATCTGAGAGAATTAAAAATTGTTGCAACACCATTTTCAGATGCTACATCTCATATTCAACATTTTGGAATATATTTACCATGAGATTTGGGTTGTTTATGTGAACTGAATTAACTACTTATTTTCTCAAGTATTACAAAACATCTGGGGTCACTTACCATTAAGTCTTATGGGGCAAGTGGCTCCCATTAAATTGAGGATAGTGCCTTTATTATATACAGATGTTGTCTTTTTTGTTAAAAAAGGAAGGCATTCTAGAATTGTATGTAGCAATCTCACAAGTACACAGTGCCATGCAGAGTTTTATAAAGTGTGGGGTTGCCATATCCTATTTGGTATAATATCAAAGCCTTATCAAGTATAGCAAAACATTGACTACTTGTTACATAAAGGGAAATTTTTCAATTTTGTCACATAGTGAGGCTGTGTAAAACAGGGTTAGGGTGACAATTTTATTACATGACCAGTTTCATTCATAAAGGCCCCCTCTGCTGCTCTCAAAACTAGCACCATGCCATTTAATACATTCCCCTGGCCACTTCTTAATTGTATGTGTGTTTTAAGTGTCACAAAGGCAATGGCAAATCTGTAACAGATATTTTATTTAGTAAGTTTGATTGCAGGGGATGAAATACACACAAAAGTTGCCAAAAAATTTAAAGCAAAGCAGCCTATTTTGCAAAAGATATGCAATTGAAAAAGGCTGCCAGAAGATCCTTTGGTGGGCTACTGTTTTTCTTTCTGTTGAATGATCAATTCAAGTGAAATATTTTTGCAAACACCAGAAATTATAGGGTTTACTGATTTACTAAAGTCAAATAGGATGTTCACTTTGCAAGGGAAGTGGCACATTACAAGAGAATTTTCCAGAGAGCTTAGTGAATGCGGTGAAATTTCACTTTGCAAAGAATACCCAACAAGGAAAAAGAAACAACAGCATTTTTGCTTGCCATGACTGGATACTAAGCATCAGTAAAGCTTCAACTTAATTAACTAAGCTCTGAGGAAAATTCCAAGCAAAGTATACAGTCTATGGCTGGGTTTCTCAACCAGGGTTCCTCCAGAGGTTGCTAGGGGTTCCTTGAGCAAGGAGCAATTTTTTACCTCTCAGATAAGTTCCCACTGACATCATTGATCTTTTTAGCTATCTGTAAGGGGGTATTTCTTCCCAATAACCACATGTGTAAGGAGTATTCTTCCCACTGACCATCTTACTAATGTATCAGGAGTTATAGATATAGTACTTTTTAGTAGGGGTTCCTTGAGATTGAAAAGTTATTTCAAGGCTTCCTCTGTGTTGAAAAGGTTGAGAAAGACTGTTCTATGGTGTTGCGTTACTAAAGCTGAAGCGTACAAAATCTGGTGCAGCTCTACATTGAAATCAATCAGCTTCCAGGTTTTATTGTCAGGCTTAATTGAACAAGCTAAAGTTAGAAGTTGATTGGCTGGCATGCACAGCTCTACCAGATTGTGAGTGCACCAGTTTTAGACCCCCCCCCCCCCCCTCCTATTTGTATTTTTTAAATCAACCCCTAGGTTGCTATGAAAGGGTGCCATTTGCTGCTACAAACGCAGCATGATAAAACCTCATAATGCTATTGATATGGTTGTTCTTTATAAAGAAACAGAGTTGCCTTCATGGATGGTCTCTTGCTACATGGGCAAGAAACCTGTAAAGAACACTGTACTAACAACCTTGTATGTTTCTGGTGGTGGATACAAGGTTTAAAGGATAAGTTCACCTTTTAAAAAAAAAAATAATAAATGCATATCTTTCATTGCAGCTAAAAAATGTGCATTTATAATTTTTTTTTAACTTGGAGCCTGTAAACCCCGCGATTAGCAAATCACTGGTGCCATGCAGGACTCCTGCAGACTTGTCAGTGTATCTGCCTGCTCATACCTCGTACAGGCAGGCAGATACACACTGACAGGCATTGAGCTGATGCAGTATTGAGCTGCTTATAATAGTCTTTTGTGATATTACATGTCCGTTTACGGAGCCTGCTCTCTTCATGGCCACCTTCCTACTATCTTCAATCTACACATTTTAGTTTGTATTCTTTGTAGCTCTGGTTTCATCTGATGTCATATTCTTTTTTTTTTTTTTTAATCTAAACAATTTTATTGTCATAAAAGTATAGGTGGTACATGTAGAGTGTACAAAATTGTATGTAGCAGTGTTATAGCATATGGTCATATCGCATCACAGAAAAATGAAAGATGTTATATTTTTATGTCACATTTATATATATTGCTGTTTTTTACCTTCTTTTGAATTGCTTTGGAAAAATCCGTAAGTATACAATTATGAAAAAAAAGTGGCAGTAGGGTGGCAAGGCAGATTTTTCAGGTGGAAATGTGTTGATATGCGGAGTCTGGGGACAATGGGTTGTGCAGCAATAGTGCTAGAAGAACAGGAATTCAATAGAGTGAGGAAGTGTAGGGGTGCAGCTGTACAGGAAGTGCAAGGTTTCAACCTATGTCTGTAGCCACTGTCCTTGTTATTTTCACCCTCAGGCCTGGGAGAAATAAAGCTCCAGACACCAAAGTGAGCAAGCTAAATCTCTGAAAGTTTAATGCATGACAAGAACGATTATACAGAACTCAGTAGGCGTTGCTTAATCTCAGGATGACCAATAAAACATTCCATTCTTATCAATATAGTTATGTGAAGAACAGAAACTGGAAATAGTTGAGGGACACCATATAAGGTAGTTTCGTTTACAGGAATTAAACTAGTCTAAGAAAACAAGAGAAAAGTTACAAAACCGAAACTAACTGTCCACACGTCTAGAAATGGAGGCATTATACAAAATGGATGCCAGTTAATAAGATATATTTCCTTACAATAAGAGTCTAGTAGTAAGCAACCAGTGGAGAGAGAGGGTGAAAATATGAGAGTCCAAAGGAGACCAATGTCTGTAGTAGTGACCAAAGAGTGTTCTGGTGAAGAGGATACATCAGCAGGAGCATAGCTCAAGCAAAATCCAGGACTGGAGGCAGAGTTCCTCAGTGAGAAGATAAAAGTGCCACTTAGGCTTTATTAATATATAGAATACTAAAAGAAACCCTGAGATAGCAAAATGTGTAACAATACTTAACTAATAGCCGACCGCAGATAGCCCAATGACGGCTGCACTGCGGCCGGCCAGTTCTGGGTGGACGTCATATGACGTCCTACCAGAACGCACTCGGGGGCGCGCACCCGGCGATCTCCATGATCGCTGTGTCCTACGGACACAGCTGATCACGTGACGTGGTAAAAGGCCAATCACAGCGGCCTTTTACCACGTGATCAGCCGTGTCCAATGACACGCTGATCACCGGGAAATGCAAATGCCGGTTCTCGGCTGCACTTTCCTCACGCTGTCAGATCGTGAGGAAAGTACTGCCGAAAACCGGCAGTTGTCAGAGCGGGGATCGGCACCGATCATCAGGGTCACTGATCATCAGTGCCCTGATGATCGGTGCCCAGCAGTGCCACACACAAGTTCCGCCCACCTGTGCCCATCAGTGCGCCCACCTGTGCCCAGCAATGCACTCACCTGTGCCCAGCAGTGCGCCCACCTGTGCCACCCAGCAGTGTCACCACCTGTGCCCCAGAAGTGCCACCTACCTGTGCCCAGTAGTGCCACCCACCTGTGCACACCAGTGCCACCCACCTGTGCCCACCAGTGCCTATCAGTGCAGCCCAGCAGTGCTGCCAGTCAGTGCAACCAGTTAGTGCCCAGCGGTTGTGCCAGTCAGTGCCCAGCAGTGCCGCCAGTCAGTGCCCAGCAGTGATGTCAGTCAGTGCCACCTATCAGTGCTGTCTATCAGTACCCAGTATCAGTGTCAACTATCAGTGCCACCAATCAGTGCCACCTATCCGTGACACTTTATTAGTGCTGCCTATCAGTGCCGCCTATCCGTGCCACCTCATTAGTGCTGCCTATCAGTGCCGCCTATCAGTGCCCTTCAGTGCTGCCTATCAGTGCCCATCAGTGCTGCCTCATCAACGCACATCAGTGAAGGAGAAAAATAACCTGTTTGAAAAATTTTATAATAGAAACAAAGAAACTTTTTTTTTTCACATTTTTTTGCACTTTTTTTGCTTATAGCACAAAAAGTAAGGTTCCCAGCAGCAATTAAATACCATCAAAAGAAAGCTCTATTTGTGAGAAAAAAATTATAAAAATTTCATATGGGTACAATCTTGCATGACCGCGCAATTGTCAATCAAAGCGCGACAGCACTGAAAGCTGAAAATTGGCCTGGTAAATAAGGGGGTATAAGTGCCCGGTAGGCAAGTGGTTAATCATGGTTTGTGAAAATCACAGTAATTCTTTACAAATGGAGACCCTTCCTTGTCTATTTATTTAAGGAACTCGCCATACAAATGCTATGCATTCGCTAAACTGTTGCAAAAATCTCAGCAACATGTCTAATATGTTTGTTTCCGATGATTGTCAATTCCAATGCTGTATTTTCCTGAATTCCTCAATCAGGTCAATACAGTAGAAAAGGAAGGCTAGAAGAGGATATATGTGGTAGATGCTAACATAACCAAACTTCACTAAAGGGGATTTTTATGGCCTTTGCCATGTCAAAAAAATGAAATCCTTCTAAATTCTGCAGGAACTGCAGTTTACAGCAGAATCAATAACTTGCCACACAACAGAAATATCTTAATTCCAAAAGGATATGCAAACTGTAGACAACAGATAATCATATTGGTTTTGGACCTCTTGCGAAATTGAAATATTCTGGCAAGGAATGTTATTTTATTGTATACACACAGCATGAAGAGGAAAACATATGACTTAGACAGACCCTAAACCAAAGTTATAATCTATTATAAAACCACAAACGCATGTTATCCTCTTGTGGAACTAATTTTGCTATGTGCACATAAGGTCATAAGGTAATTTTTTAAAATCTTGGACAATTTCTAATGCTCCTTTTATTGTGACAAAATAAAAATATTAGTGATGCTTTTTGTGTTGCTTGTTTCTGAGTCTGATGTACAACGTACATGAACCTTTAGGCCACGTTCACACGGGCAGTCTGATCAGGTCCGCCTGTCAGTTTTTCAGGCAGACTTGATGGGAAGCTCCATGCATCTGTTTACATCCAATTACCTCCAAGTCTGTCTACAGTCAGCAAAAAATTGAAAAGGTGTGCATCCTTTTCCATTTTTTTCAACCTACCTCTTTACCTGGGATTAAAAATACTATTTCAGTCTTTGCAGATGACACCAAGCTGTGCAGTGGAATAACGTCCTTACAGGATGTCTCCAACTTACAAGCCCTCAATGCACTGTTTAATTGGGCAAATATGTGGCAAATGAGGTTTAATGTTGATAAATGTAAGGTTATGCAGTTGAGGGCTAAGAATATGCATGCATACTAGGGGGAGTACAACTGGGGGATTTAATGGTGGAGAAGGATCTGGAAGTTCTGGTAGATCACAAGCTTAATAATGGCATGCAATGCCAAGCTGCGGTTTCTAAAGCGAGCAAAATCCTCTCGTATTAAAAAAGGTATAGACTCCAGAGAGAGAGATATCATTTCCCCGGTACAAATCTTAGTAAGACCTCATCTGGAATGTACAGTTCAGTTTTGGACATCAATTCACAAAAAGAACATTGGGGAACTGGAGAAAGTACAGAGAAGGGCAACCAAACTGATAAGAGGCATGGAGGAGCTCAGCTATGAGGAAAGGTTAGAAGAACTGAATTTATTCTCTCTTGAGAAGAGGAGATTAAGGGGGGATATTATCAACATGTATAAATACATCAGTGGTTCATATAGTGAACTCAGTGTAGATTTATTCACACTGAGGTCATCACAGAGGACAAGGGGGCACTCTTTACATCTGGAGGAAAATAAATTTAATCTCCAAACATGGAAAGGTTTCTTCACAGTGAGAGCTGCGAAAATGTGGAATAGACTCCCTCAAGAGTTGGTTCTGGCCAGCTCAGTGGATTACTTTAAAAAAGGCCTGGATTCTTTCTTGGATACACAGAATATAACTGGATACTAACATTTATAGGTAAAGTTGGTCCAGGGAATTATCCGATTGCCTCTTGGGGGATCAGGAAGGAATTTTTTCCCCTGCAGGAGCAAATTGGATCATGCTTTGTTAGGGTTTTTTTTGCCTTCCTCTGGATCAACTGTGGGTGTAAGATTATAACTTTTTTCTTTTTTTTTAATGGTTGAACTGGATGAACTTTTGTCTTTTTTCAGCCAGACTAACTATGTAACATCAGGCTGCCCATAGATCCAATATGGGTCCACAGAGTTCCTGCAGATAAAAACTGAACAAATATGGATGTCACAAAAGTGACCCCCGTTCCATTCTGCTCTGATATAGCAAGGGATATGTTTTCGGATCCCCTGCTGATTGGACCGGATACAGCCCATGTGAATGGGACCCTAGACTAGCTTGGTCACAGTGCGCAAACCATATTTTTAATAGTAGGTTGTGAACACCATGTTTACTATACTCTCTTACCTGTCTGTTCAGCATTTGTTCTAAGTCGGCCTTCACCTTCTTTTCATTCGATATTATCTGCATATGTTCCTTTAGTATAAAAGATATATTAATAATATCTGTCATAAAGCTAGCAAAAGCCACAGTTTCTGAAACACAAACTAGATTATTTATATATTTTTTCTACTAACACCAAATATCGTGACAAAGGTGTAGGGGAAGCTGAAAAAGTTCTAAACCAAGGCAGAAAAATTAGTTACCTCACACTTGTCTTTCAGCTTGGTTTCATTTCCTTGAAGATGAGCAATATCTAAATGTATTTTTTTTTATTTCTTCATCTTTAGTTGCATTTTCTTTCTGTAATTTGAGCATAATTATTTTACGATCAATATATTTATTATACAAGTTAATAGATACAACTCAAGAGTAAGTATCATACATCCAGAAGAACATTGAGAAGCTACATTGTGTGTAGCCATAGGACACAGTCAGCTATCTGTCTGTAGCACTCTCCTAGTCAGGTGTTAGGATAGGTAAATTTAGTTCGGGCCCATTGTAGTCAATGGGGTTAATCTGCTCTGTTAGGCAAATATAGTTTAGCTCACTGTACCCAGTGAGGCTGGAATTTTGTTTGGGATTTAAAGCTAAGTGTTAGTGTAGGTAAATTTAGTTTTAGCCCATTGTAATCAGTGGAACTGCATTTAATTATTTTGGTCTGGTCTGTGCTTCGGAGGCTGCATGATTGTTTGCTTCTTCCTGTTTACCTGGAACAGCTCTGGGTAGTAGAGGTGGGGGCCTACCAATCAGCAGCTTAATATTTATGTAGCCCCAGCCAATTCCTGGGAGGTCTGGCCAGAGGATTCTGGGAGAATTCATAAATACCTTGGAGTAGAGAGCAGTCTCATCCTCTTCCAGAGGGAGAGATCATCACTGGGCTTGTTTGCCCTTCCTGTGCATTCTGCCATGTGCTCATCGAGTGGAGGCCCCAGCTGTAAGATTGGAGGGCCTGGAACCACTATTTGCTGCTGAAGGTTGGCCAAAGGGCTGTCATCTGAGGATCTAGTCTGGTACCACTGGGAGAAGCTGCCTGCAAAATATTGGTAGGTGGCCACCATTTGTTCACAGGCATTCTGTGAGTACAGGAAAGGAGAAATCCTAGAGGCTGAGTGCCATCACCCCTTTTGTGTGCTAGCAGGTCAGCTTTATGTTTGCAAGAAGTTTTTGCCTGAGAAGCATAGTCATTCTATTCCTTGTGAAGCTATTGCTTGGACTGTTCACTGAGGAAGGCTCAACCTCCTCAATACTGTTACTGCAGTGCCTGTCCACTATCAGCTACACAGGGACAGTGTTCAGAGTTTCAAGAAGCAAGTTTAGTGTCCTCAAGTTCATTATAGTAGGTTAATGGAGTATCCTATGTTCCCCAAACCCCATCCAAACTCAACCCTTTGTTAAAACATCAAAAGCAACAATCCTGGACTGTTCCTTGAGCCAAGGGAGTAAAAGTGCAGGTGTGCCTGGCTGTGGGGCAATAACTGGGAAAAGGAACCTTGGCACATTACCAACGGCTCCTCCAGGGTTATCGCTACATATCAATAACTGCAACAAAATCTAAAGAACAATGTCACAAAAACCCATCCAATACTTGCCTCAACAACATTATGAAGAGATCAAAAAAGAGGAGAATAGAAAAGAGGAAGGAAAGAAAAAAAGAGCTTTTGAACCTGGAGACCTCAACCAATACTCTGCCAGGTACAATATTAAGAGGATAATTGAATGTGTGTATATTGGGCCCTTGGGTCCTACGTTTTTTCAAATTTATTCTTGGCATCATTCTTGTTACTGATCATCTTTTTATGGGTCATTATTCATAAGATCTTTTGTTAGATCTGAGAGAGGGAAATCAAAGTTTTCTTCCACAATTTAGCTATAGTTATCTTAGCCACTACCACTATAAGTATAAAGTAAGTTAATCTTTGTGAGCTATGTGAATTGTTCCCGATTAGCTCATTAGTAGTGTAATTTGAGGTTGTTGCTGCAATTGTAATCCTGTGACCCTCTGAAGTAAGGCAAAGGTCCTGCTCCAAAATTTCAGGGCACTCCCACCAAATATGTAACTTAGTACACTAAACATCACAACCCCTAAAACACAAAGAGAACAGAGCTTAATTATTTTTAATGCCAGTAAACAACTGCATTAAAACCAGAAAGCTCACGTATGGTCACCAGTGCGGTTTACAGGACTTCAAACAATTTCTCACAGCTGGTGTCCACAGGACTACCTCCAGGGGTTTCTTTGTCAGGACCCATAAAGTTTCAGCCTTCGTGCTGTAATCTTGAACAAATTACTTTTTGGTATCCATCTGTCCCCAGGAAAGACATGACCTGTTTTTGGGCTCCCCCACAATGTATACAACACTGCATACAACACAGTATAGTAAAAAAAAACATAAGTGCTTACCTGCTGTAAAGTCAGCTGCTGTTGAAATTTGGATACATCATCTTCTGCTCTTCTGAGCATTGTTCTAGTCTTTGTTAAATTGCTCTCCAGGTCCAGTACCTTGCTTTTCTAAAAGCATGAACATTTTTTGTTTAATGAGACTTTACAAATTATTTCCATCTTGAGCCTTAGTGGGCACATCATAAATATTATAAAGATTTTTTTATAAAAAGTATCCTTGCAAATGGTCTTCACACAGCCTTGCCATATAAGGATTAAAAGTGACTTCAACAAGTCAACTCCGAGTTTAACAATCACTTCCTAGCAGCTACATTTTTGGAACAAATTAAGCTGGTCTGCACTTATTGTTTATGTATCCAAAATAGCAACTGTCTATGCAAACTTATTCAGTCCTCCCCTTGAAAATGATAGTTTGAGTCCAACAGTAGAATCAGGTAATATTTGACATGTGTTTACAATGCTGACCCATAATCAGTGTTGGGTTCCAGAATGGGTAAATTTATGAAGCAGTGCAGAGGTGTGTAGAGGAAGTCTCAAACAGGAACAGTTATGCATGGATCGAAATTCAGCTGGTTCCTGCTCAACCGGGGGCTTTTCAATCCAGCTATGGCCAGCTTTAGGCCTGAGCTTCGTTTTCTTAGTATAGTTTCCACATATTTGGTCACACTGTAGGATACTAGCATGCAGGCCCAGGCTGGCCATGGGGCACACAGGGCATTTACGGACAGCGGGAGGAAACCCGGAGTCCGCGGTCCAGACAGGGCTAACACAGACTGCAGTCACCATTCACCTCCCGCAATGCGGACATTTATTTGTCTCCACTCCCGGCTCACTATGTCATCCTATCAGCAGAGCAGGGGGAAGGAGGAGCTGGAGTGGTAGTCTTTTCATATTAACAAGTGGGTAACTACCTGCTTCATAACATGATCCAGATCTGTAGCTCTTCCCATCCCCTACCCTGCTGATAGGATGACACATTTGGTGGGGTGGGAGACCCTCGAGAGGACACTCAGGTTGAATCTTGCCTCTCCCCTGCCAAAGGTAGGACTGTGCAGGGGAGGCATAGAGTAAAAGAGGGCACTGTGATCAGAGAGAAAATGGTGGGGGGGCATGACTGCAAGGGGCACTGTGATGGGGGGCTGTGATTGCTAGAGGCACTGTAATGTAAAGGGGCACTGGAATATAAAGGAACTGCACTGTAAAGGGGGCACTGTATTCATTACAGTGATCCTTTTCTTTGTATCACAGTGCCCCTTTACATTACAGTACAGAGGACTGACTCCGTAAATATCCTGTCATCAACTACCCCGCAAACATAGCAACCCTCCCCTCTTGTCTGTTCGGTCTCTTTTTTTGTCACAGTCTGGGCCTGCTAGCATGTAGTATCCTGTCATAATACTGAAGCCAAATGACAAGATCTGGTCATTTGGCTACACCGGGAGATGTGAGTTGTTTTGTTTGTATTCAATTTTATTGTTTTAGGGATCCTGTATCAGGATGCATCCAAACAATGTCTTATATTATGTGTTGCTAGCGGAGGAAGAAAGAGAATATTGGCACTAGTTATTTCAGAATCAAATAGTGAGCAGTTACTGGAATACAAATGTTTGGCTCATTCCTTTGTTGATCGGGGCGTCTCACATTTGGTGAAATTCAGCTGCTGATTCAGATCTTATCTGGCTTTGTCTGGTAACTTTACTCAGGCCACAGTTTCCTCTGTGTAGTTTCTACATACAGTATCTGGTCACACTAATGCTGCAGGAAACAAGCTTTAAGTATCCTGACAACCCACATGGAAGAAAAATATATTTGAAATATATTTTGAAATGACATAAAAAAATCATTTTAACATATATTTTTAGAAGTATTTGTAAATGTATTCCAAAAACGTAGATTTGCATTTTTAAAGACATACAGTATATTTGAAATGTATCTTTAAAAATATTTTTCATATATTTTGTAATAATAACGCATTTCAACATGCAGTATATATATATATATATATATATATATATATATATATATTTTATTGAAATATATTTTGAAATATATTGAATATGGCCAAAATTGTAGCATTTCAAATATATAGCAATATATTTGGAAAGAATATTTTTATAATATATTTCAAATATATTTTTCTTCCATATGGGGAAAGCTGACAAATACTGTTGTAACATTCAGGGTGGACATAGCATTTGTGCAAACTGCGCAAGTACACAAGAGCCCTCTGGGAACTAGGGGTCCATTTTTACTAGATGTACAGTTGCAAGAAAAAGTATGTGAACCCCTTGGGATTACATGGAGTTTTGCATGAATTGGGCATAAAATGTGCTCTGAACGTCATCTAAAAATTCTGAAGGACCCTCTGCACACTGGTATATACCCTTTCAAGCAAACTATGCAACAAATAGGGATATTTGGTTCACACATATTGCAATACATGTTTAAGCTGGCCAACTGCGTCAAAGTAATCCCTCTATGGCCAGTCCTACTCTGCCCTGCCAACGCAAGTGCTATTGTGGACACAATGCTAGCATAGGGGAAAAGACACAATGGGGAGAGCTACAAGGTTCAGGTCTGGCTACTGACCCAACAATACAACAAACAAGAGATCCCTGTGCTCAAATCCATACAGCTAGTGCATGCATTTATCCATCAGGTGCTAAAGGGGTGTAACCAATTAACTCTAGAAATTCTGAAGGACCCACTGCACACTGGTATATACCCTTTCAAGCAAACTATGCAACAAATAGGGATATTTGGTTCACACATATTGCAATACATGTTTAAGCTGGCCAACTGCGTCAAAGTAATCCCTCTATGGCCAGTCCTACTCTGCCCTGCCAACGCAAGTGCTATTGTGGACACAATGCTAGCATAGGGGAAAAAGACACAATGGGGAGAGCTACAAGGTTCAGGTCTGGCTACTGACCCAACAATACAACAAACAAGAGATCCCTGTGCTCAAATCCATACAGCTAGTGCATGCATTTATCCATCAGGTGCTAAAGGGGTGTAACCACATTAACTCTAGAAATTCTGAAGGACCCTCTGCACACTGGTATATACCCTTTCAAGCAAAACTATGCAACAAATAGGGATATTTGGTTCACACATATTGCAATACATGTTTAAGCTGGCCAACTGCGTCAAAGTAATCCCTCTATGGCCAGTCCTACTCTGCCCTGCCAACGCAAGTGCTATTGTGGACACAATGCTAGCATAGGGGAAAAGACACAATGGGGAGAGCTACAAGGTTCAGGTCTGGCTACTGACCCAACAATACAACAAACAAGAGATCCCTGTGCTCAAATCCATACAGCTAGTGCATGCATTTATCCATCAGGTGCTAAAGGGGTGTAACCACATTAACTCTAGAAATTCTGAAGGACCCTCTGCACACTGGTATATACCCTTTCAAGCAAACTATGCAACAAATAGGGATATTTGGTTCACACATATTGCAATACATGTTTAAGCTGGCCAACTGCGTCAAAGTAATCCCTCTATGGCCAGTCCTACTCTGCCCTGCCAACGCAAGTGCTATTGTGGACACAATGCTAGCATAGGGGAAAAGACACAATGGGGAGAGCTACAAGGTTCAGGTCTGGCTACTGACCCAACAATACAACAAACAAGAGATCCCTGTGCTCAGCTGTATGGATTTGAGCACAGGGATCTCTTGTTTGTTGTATTGTTGGGTCAGTAGCCAGACCTGAACCTTGTAGCTCTCCCATTGTGTCTTTTCCCCTATGCTAGCATTGTGTCCACAATAGCACTTGCGTTGGCAGGGCAGAGTAGGACTGGCCATAGAGGGATTACTTTGACGCAGTTGGCCAGCTTAAACATGTATTGCAATATGTGTGAACCAAATATCCCTATTTGTTGCATAGTTTGCTTGAAAGGGTATATACCAGTGTGCAGAGGGTCCTTCAGAATTTCTAGAGTTAATGTGGTTACACCCCTTTAGCACCTGATGGATAAATGCATGCACTAGCTGTATGGATTTGAGCACAGGGATCTCTTGTTTGTTGTATTGTTGGGTCAGTAGCCAGACCTGAACCTTGTAGCTCTCCCCATTGTGTCTTTTCCCCTATGCTAGCATTGTGTCCACAAATAGCACTTGCGTTGGCAGGGCAGAGTAGGACTGGCCATAGAGGGATTACTTTGACGCAGTTGGCCAGCTTAAACATGTATTGCAATATGTGTGAACCAAATATCCCTATTTGTTGCATAGTTTGCTTGAAAGGGTATATACCAGTGTGCAGAGGGTCCTTCAGAATTTCTAGAGTTAATGTGGTTACACCCCTTTAGCACCTGATGGATAAATGCATGCACTAGCTGTATGGATTTGAGCACAGGGATCTCTTGTTTGCTGAACGTCATCTAAGTCACAACAATAGAAGACCACAGTCTGCTGAACATAATACTACACAAACATTAGATGTTGCATGGTTTAATTGCACATAACATGTAAACATTCACAGTGCAGGGAGGAAAAAGTATGTGAGGCCCTAGCTTAATGACTTCTCCCAGAGCTAATTGGAGCCAGGAGTGAGCCAACCTTGACTCCAATCAGTCTGATGATATTGGATGTGTTGCTGACAGCTGTCCTGTCCTTAAAAAACACACACCTGTTTTGGGTTTACTGGGTTCAAGAAGCACTGTCTGATGTGAACCATGCCTCGCAGAAAAGAGCTCTCAGAAGACCTACGATCAAGAATTGTTGACTTGCATGAAGCTGGAAAGGGTTACAAAAGTATCTCCAAAAGCCTTGATGTTCATGTGTCCACGGTAAGACAGACTGTCTACAAATGGAGAAAGTTTAGCACTGTTGCTACTCTCCCTTGGGGTGGTCGTACTGTAAAAATGACTGCAAGAGCACAGCGCAGAATGCTGCATGAGGTAAAGAAGAATCCCAGAGTGTCAGCTAAAGACCTACAGAAATCTCTGGCACATGCTAACATTTTTGTTGACACATCTACAATAAGGAAAACATTAAACAAGAATGGAGTACATGGGAGGACACCACGGAGGAAGCCATTGCTGTCCAAAAAGAATATTGCAGCACGTTTGAAGTTTGCAAAAGAGCACCTGGATGTTCCACAGCACTACTGGCAAAATATACTGTGGACAGATGAAACCAAGATTGAGTTGTTTGGGAAGAACACACAACACTTTGTGTGTGGAGAAAAAAAAGGTACAGCACACCAACATCAAAACGTTTGGTTGAGGTTATTGCTGCCAAAGGAGGGTCAACCAGTTATTAAGTCCAAAGGTTCACATACTTTTTCCTCCCTGCACTGTGAATATTTACATGTTATGTGCAATGAAACCATGGCAACATCTAATGTTTGTGTAGTATTATGTTCAGCAGACTGTGTTCTTCTATTGTTGTGACTTAGATGACGTTCAGAGCACATTTTATGCCCAATTCATGCAAAACTCCACGTAATCCCAAGGGGTTCACATACTTTTTCTTGCAACTGTAGTTCAGATGGCTGCAGAGATCCCTCCCACCGCAACCTAGAAATAAACACTGCTCACTTCTACCTAGATATCAATCAATACAAAGTGGACAGTAGGTAAATAGGCAGGCTGAAAAAATAGTCCTGCATAGGCAACTTGGCAACCCTGTCCATCACTGGTAACATAAGCATAAAAATCATAAATAAGAATTTTATATACCACCTGCATATAACTTTTCTGCCTTAAAAGGCAGAACCATCCCCACAGCACCTTGTGCATGTTTCAGGAAGTCAAAGTTGGCTCCCATATCCAAAATGGTGGTGCCATGGACCCTCAGCAGTAAGCAGAACCAGCTGCAGGAAGATAGCACTGGACCCTAGGCACTTGTTAGGTACCTTATTTGTAAACATCAGCAACTACAGTATTTGTAGCTGCTGACCTTTAATTAAAAAATAAGTCAAATTTCTCTTTAACCTGCTGCACACATACATTTACAGTATATGGACACTTATTATTCCAAATACAAACTTTTTTGTTGTAGAATAGTGGATAGATGGTCAGTGCACAAATTATTGTTTTACCTCCACCTCCAGTGAACGCTGAAATTCCTCTTTCTGTCTCTTGTCTGATTCTGAAATACCTGTTTGCACCTTGTATATAAAAGTACAGAATTAGTGAGACAACTGTCCCTGTAATACTTTCACACAATCAGCATGGTTACTGGCCATCTCTAGAAAAGGCTAATTAACTCCAGTTTCATTAAACGGGACATCACAACTTCCCTCTTTGTAGCCACCATGTCAAGTGTACTTAGCACGTAGCAAAGGTCCCAATGGTCCTCACCCCTGGATTCTCTGATTAGCTCACTGGCTTTGCCATAACCCGTAACAGAGCCTAAAGTCAAATTACTTACATCCCAGGCATTTGTCATCTAATTAAACAGTGAGTTGGTAAAGCTGACCATACAGTAGCAGATTTTCTAATCTAAAAATATTTGCATGAACAATCAACAAAGTTCTCAGCACTTTTTTTCGCTTGACGAATGTCATTTGAAAGTACTTCAAAATTTTGTTTGCTTTTAACCTTTGATTTTAGAATGAATAGTTTCCCGAAGGAAAACCACATACTGTACACTGTTAGATATTACTTTATTCTTGTCACTGTGGTTGAAAATTAATGTTGATTTTACCCTACTAATGATCAGAAAATTTAAAAATATTTACTACTGTATGGCAGCTTTAGGGAACAACTGAATTAGCATTTATTTTAGAAAAAACATAATTAATTATTAGGATAAAATAAACAATACATGTGCATAAAGGTATATGTGCACATATCCCATCTATATTAAATTCCACCATTTTTCACAAACATCTCATAGCACTAAATTTCATCTACCCATGCTCTATCTGACTAAAAAAAAAATCTGTACAACATTTCTGGAAGTATCAAAAAAGGATTCACCCAGTCATCAGCACATCAGTGGACATATCCTTTAATGTACTCTAACGCAGGGCTTTTATTCTCAGGGAATAGGTGCAGAAACTCAACCACAACACAGAGCAGAGTTCAGGAGTGCACTATGTACAGAGTGCAGAATTCAGGACTGTGCACTATGTACAGAGTGCAGAGTTCAGGAGTGAACTATGTACAAAGTGCAGAGTTCAGGAGTGCGCTGTGTACAGAGTGCAGGGCTCAGGAGTACATAGCGCATGTTCAGGAGTGCATTATGTACAGATTGCAGAGTTCAGGTGTAAGCTACATGCAGAGTTTTAGAAGTGAACTATGTACAGCGCGCAGAGTTCAGGAGTGTGCTGTGTACAGAGTGCAGAGTTCAAAAGTACACTATGTACAGAGTGCAGTGTTCAGGAGTGTATTATGTACAGAGGGCAGAATTCAAGAATGTGCTACGTACAGACTGCAGAGTTAAGGAGTGCAGAGTTCAAACGTACACAATGTACAGAGGGGAGAGTTCAGGAGTGCACTATGTACAGAGAGCAGAGATCAGAAGTGTGCTATGTACAGAGGGAAGAGTTCAAGAGTGCACTATGTACAGAGTGCAAAGTTCAAGAGTGCACTATGTACAGAGAACAGAGTTCAGAAGTGCACTATGTACAGAGGGAAGAGTTCAGGAGTGAACTATGTACAAAGTGCAGAGTTCAGGAGTGCGCTGTGTACAGAGTGCAGGGCTCAGGAGTGAGCCACAGAGTGCAGGGCTCAGGAGTGTGCTATGTACAGAATGCAGAGTTCAGGAGTGTGCTAGGTACAGAGTGCAGAATTCAAGAATGCGCTAGGTACAGAGTGCAGAATTCAAGAATGCGCTAGGTACAGAGTGCAGAATTCAAGAATGCGCTAGGTACAGAGTGCTTCAAGAATGCGCTAGGTACAGAGTGCAGAGTTCAGAAGTGCACTATGAACAGAGGGCAGAGTTCAAGAGTGTGAGCGATGTCCAGAGTGTAAAGTTAAGTGATGCACTACGTACAGAGTGCAGAGTTTAGGGGGTGTGCTATGTACAGAGTGCAGAGGTCAGGAGTGCACTATGTACAGAGATCAGAGTTCAGGAGTGCATTATGTACAGAGTGCAGAGTTCAGGAGTGCACTATGTACAAATTGCAGGGTTCAGGAGTAAGCTACATGCAGAGTGCAGAGTTTAGAAGTGCACTATGTACAGCGGGCAGAGTTCAGGAGTGTGCTGTGTACAGAGTGCGGAGTTCAAAAGTGCACTATGTAAAAAGTGCAGAGTTCAGGAGTGCACTATGTACAGAGTGCAGAGTTCAGGAGTGTATTATGTACAGAGGGCAGAATTCAAGAATGCGCTAGGTACAGACTGCAGAGTTAAAGAGTGCAGAGTTCAAACGTATGCTATGTACAGAGGGAAGAGTTCAGGAGTGCGCTATGTACAGAGTCCAGAGTTCAGAAGTGTGCTATGTACAGAGGGCAGAGTTCAAGAGGCACTATGTACAGAGTGCAGAGTTAAGGGGTGCACTATGTACAGAGTGCAGAGTTCATGAGTGCCCTATGTACAGAGGGCAGAGTTCAAGAGTTCATCTTCTACAGAGTGCAGAGTTCAGGACTACACTATGAACAGAGTGCAGAGTTCAGACGTGCGCTATGTACAGAATGCAGAGTTCAGGAGTGCACTACATACAGAGAGCAGAGTTCAGGAGTGCACTATGTACAGAGAGCATAGTTCAGGAGTGTATTACGTACAGAAGGCAGAGTTCAAGAATGTGCGCTCTTTTCCGAGTGCACAGTTCAGGAATGCGCTATGTTCAGTTTACTCCTAATTGTCCCTCCTCCACCCAGTACAGAGCTCTCCACCCAGTAGAGAGCTCTACACACCCCACCGTCCAGTACAGAGCACTCTAAATATAGCCAGCAGCACATATCATTGTATTCTGATGGCAGTGAAGACTCCCCGCTGTCAGAACACAATAACTCAGTGGGAGTGATTTCCTCATCCACCTTAAATGTGTGGATGGGGGAATCGGATCTTTTTTTTTTTTTGGATTCAACCCACTGGTTGATTGAAAAAATATGATTTTAGCGTGGGCTGTCTTACAGCAGGAGTGTGCATGCTGCGGGTTTCAGGAGAAGCTGTTGCCATGAGATTATCACAGCTCAGCACATCCCTTACCCCCTCCCTCCTCTGCTCTTATAGGGATAGTGCAGGAAGGGTTCTGTACAAATTGCCAGGAGAGGAGTGCTGTCACTTATACACACAGAAGCGAGCTTCTGCATAGTGAGCAGTGGGCAAGGGGCACCTCTGTCACACTCAAGCTAAAAAAAAGGCCTGCTCTCACCACATTGAAGGGTTTGATAAAGTTCAAACTTTATCATTGTTTTGTTTCCTTTAATACATAAACTTAATTTAACAGATAGACAATTAGATTACCATAGAATTGACAACAACACAAAGTATTCCAAATGATGCTTGTGCTTATCTCCACTGATGACCAATACAGTATTATGCTAAGGTTATTAGTGGAGTACCCCAAAGTTTAGTGCTGGGACCCCTTTTTGTTTAACCTATTTATAAATTATATGGAGTTTGGAATTAAAAGTACCATTTCAGTCTTTGCAGATGACACCAAGCTATGCCATGGAATAACGTCCTTACAGAATGTCTCCAACATACACACAGACTTCAGTGCATTATTTAACCAGCCAACTATGTGGTAAATGAGGTTTAATGTTGATAAACATAAAGCTTTCCACTTGGGGGCTAAAAACATGCTTGCATCATACATTCTAGGAGGAGAACAGCTGGGGGAATCAATGGTGGAGAACGATCTGGGAGTTCTGGTAGATCACAAGCTTAATAATGGCATGCAATGCCAAGCTGCGGTTTCTAAAGCGAGCAAAATCCTCTCTTGTATTACAAGAGGTATAGACTCCAGAGAGAGAGAGAGATATCATATTACCCCTGTAAAAATCATTAGTAAGACCTCATCTGGAATATGCAGTTCAGTTTTGAGCAATTCACAAAAAGGATATCGGGGAATTGGAGAAAGTGCAGAAAAGGGCAACCAAACTAATAACAAGCATGGAGGAACTCAGCTATGAGGAAAGATTATAGGAACTGAATTTATTCTCTCTTGAGAATACAGTGGGATATGAATGATCACCATATATGAATACATAGGTGGTACATATAGTGAACTGGGTGTAGAATTATTCGGGGTATGGTCATCCCAAAAATTCAAGGGGACACTCTTAATGTCTGGAGAAAAATAGATTTAACCTACACATACAGAAAGGCTTTTTCACAATAAGAGCTGTGAAAATGTGCAACAGGAGTCAGTTAAGAATTGCTTCTGGCCAGCTCAGCTCAAGAGCTGAATGCATTCCTAAATGCACAAAATATAACTTGATATTAACATTTATAAGTAACAACACCAGAGATTGCTGATCCAGGGAACTCTTGATTGCCTTCTGTGGTACCAGGAAGGCATTTTTTTCCTCCTACTAGAATAAGTTGGACCGTGCTATATAGAGTTTTTTTGTCTTAATCCTGGATTAACTGTAGATATAGGATTATGTACTGTTTATGGAGGTTTTCTGTTTATTTATCTATTGGTTGAACTAGATGGACTTGTGTCTTTTTTCATCCTGACTGACTATATATATGTAATTAGTGACGGCAGAGATTTATATGAAGAGAGTATGGAGTGGCAAGGGCAGACAAGCAAACCTAATACCATGAACAGAATTGTAGTTTAGGCTGCACACTCTGAAAAAGGACGGATTAATGGAAGTTGAAATCAAGGACATAACTGCAAAGAAGAAAGCACATACTTACATCTCCCACTGGCCATGCTCCATCAAAGGAATCATCCCCCAAAGTCCTCTTCAGAAAGTGACACTTCCGGGAGTGTCAATCTTCTGAGGCCACAGGGCATTCGGTGGTTCCTCCCCTTTGACCATTATGTACTGTATAGAGGATTCCTCATGATCAAAGCAGTGTTTAGCAGTGAAGGCAGTGAGAAATGTTAAAGTGTTACTAAACCCACAACAGTAAAATCAGTCTGTATATGCAGTACAGAATACTTCTAATACTGTGGAACCTAAGGGGTTCCAAATCGTGTAAAAGGATGTTTGATCCTGTCTTCTCTGACAGGCAAGAGAGACAAGCAGTAAACCTAATAAGATGAACATAATTGTAGTGTAGGCTTTGATCCTGTCTTTTCTGATCCTCCCCTTCCTCCACAGTCCCCAATCCATTAGCTGAAAGTACAGAGACATATGAGGTATTCTGCACATGCTCAGTTTAGTGTGTACTGCTAGAGAGTCTTTTGGGAGGGTGCAGGTGATCGGCACAGGGCCAATCAGCACTGTCCAGACAGAGGGTCAGCCTCATAGGATAGTCAGAGGAGAATGAAACTTCTCCTACAAGCATCAACCAGTGCTTAGCCAAACACTGATAGACATTACACGATTGCTATATGCTGCTGATGAGAAAAGGTATTTAGCAGTTTATATTTACTAGATTAATTGCATTTCCATGTTCTGTGTACTGTGGGGGACCAGATACAGTGAATGCAGGGTCCTGGGTTTAGTAACACTTTAAGTGCAGCAATAGAAGTTCCATTCTGAAGAATTCACTATATAATTTGTATGTTAGCCATCCCATTTCCAGAGTGTCCAGAAGAGAAGCTAGAGAAGTTGGCATACAAACCTCAAGTTTAGCTGTCATTTTGGTGACCTCTTGGGGGGGGGGGGGGGGGGGGGGGGGGGGGGGGGGGGGGGGGGGGGGGGGGGGGGGGGGGGGGGGGGGGGGGGGGGGGGGGGGGGGGGGGGGGGGGGGGGGGGGGGGGGGGGGGGGGGGGGGGGGGGGGGGGGGGGGGGGGGGGGGGGGGGGGGGGGGGGGGGGGGGGGGGGGGGGGGGGGGGGGGGGGGGGGGGGGGGGGGGGGGGGGGGGGGGGGGGGGGGGGGGGGGGGGGGGGGGGGGGGGGGGGGGGGGGGTTTACAGTTATCTAAAAGATCACTGAGGTTCTCTACTGCTTGTTGCTTGGCTTCGTTGTCACTCTGCAACAAAAGAGAGCAAGATATTGATTGTTGTCACAGATTAAGGTTCTATCACATTGCAATCTATCCCTGTATATTTGCCTGCCTTAGTATTTGTTCCTTTGATTTAAGAGCCTGTGTATTATTACAGGAAATATAGATTTATTTTTTGCTGATTTTCTTCATTGTGTTCTCAGGGGAACTAGCAATCCAGCTAGGGTAGACTTGTTTCCAGCAGATGTCTATTGTTTTCTTCCCCAGAACTGGGGCTGGGGGTATGCACTTTCCTACATAATAGCAATTAGAGGCACACTTGGCAATCCTAAAATCCATGTTAACCTCCCTAGCGGTATAATTATTTCAGATTTTTGGTGCTGAAAGCGGTACCATTTTTTTTGCATGGAAATATGTATTTTTTTTATTGTAGGCCTGTAATTTAGGAATAACTCACTGAAATCTGTCCAAACAAGAGTCTAGTAAACATTCCGGATATGATAAAACTTGAAACGCAAAATCATAAATTATAATTTAATATATAATTATAAAAAATAATAATATAATAATAATAAATTTAATTAAATAATATAATCAAACCAAAAACACTGAAATTTGAAATATAGCGCCAAGTTCGCACATCGCTGAGCAAAGTCGCAGAATCGTTTTCAGTGTCTGATGACGAATTTCCCCACAAATCATTATCACTCAATTCTGCAAGTGGTTCTGATTTACTAACGCTGTTCTCTAGCCAGTCTAAAACCGCTTTTGAAATAAAGGGACGCTTTTTGGACGCCATGGACTTTTCTAAGTTTTCAGGCAGAAAGAACAGTCAAAATGCAGGCAGGAGACAGGACAAAGCAGTAGGGACAAAATGTATGTGAAATGTGTATGTGAAACAGCATTGTTTTACTATGTAATAATCATTGTAAAAAAAATGACATTTTTTAAAAAATTTAAAATTTGCTGCCGGTTCCGTCGCCCATACGTCCCGACGTCACAGGGACCGGAACACGGAAGCCGGATGCCGGCATCGGCCGGAGGAGATGGCCAGGGACACTGCAGGGGACGCATCGCGGGAGCGAAGGACAAGGTAAGCGCTGCAGGGACTCCCTATGCAACGCTGCATGGTAAGCCCGAGTGTAGCTCGGGGTTACCGCTTTTGGTACTGAAACTTTACCCCGAGCTGCACTCGGGAATACCGCTAAGGAGGTTAATGGGATGACAGCTAGAAAGGAATGATCAATGGTCAGATCAAACTTGCAAGGTTGGGAGAGTTCCTACAAATTGCATCTAAAATACTGCCATACCATTTCTGATGTAACTCCATGCTCACAGCCACGTGCATACACCTCCTGATAATAAATACCCTAAATACTAATTTAATCTACTGTACCAATTTTGCAGGGATTCAAATTCTACATCCTCTGCTGTTTTCACAGATTACTTACCAATAGGAGGCAGCTAAGAGGCCATGGTGTAAAGTGTTAAGCATCCCCTTGTAGCCTTAGCAAGTGCTATCTAAGGCTCCATGCACACGGGGCATTTTAACAATGCTGGTAACGCTAGCTGTGTAAAGCCAAGTTAAAACCGTGCGTTTTTCAGTGTATTTTAGCATTTTTGTATTAGCGTTTAGCTGCAGTGTTTCGCTTTTGCATTTGCAGATTTTAGCATTTTTTAAAGTTTGTTTTTTTAGCAAAAAAAAATTTTTTTTGCTAAAAAAAAGTCCAAAAATGCTGGTTTGACACAATTTACCGCGTTTTACTGTGGTTTGCCACAAGAGCGTTTTTACAGCTAAAAAACTCCTCTAGAAACCCACTAGTTCTGTTTTTTTTTTTCAGCCAAAAAACACCCCTGCCAAAAAATGTTGATTACAGTCTATGTGTGCATGGACACATAGGATAACATGCTGGGGGGTTTACTGGCTGTAGAAAAAAAAATCAAAAGTAAAAAACAGCCGCTGTAAAAACGTCCTGTGTGCATGAGGACAAAAATTCTCACCTTACAGTAGGAAAGGTCCTGCTTAGAGTGTGGACTAGCAGTAAAAGATATACTAAGAAAATGTTAAATATTTGCATGACATCATGCATGTTGGATAATTGGAGGTGGATTTGCATCTTATTGTTCTATAGATTTGACTTCACACATCAGAAGCCTAAACATCACACCACCCCAATGGTAAAAGTTCTAAGTAGGGTTCTAACATTAACCTGCATAATGCTATCTAGAAAAAAAATTTAACACTGAAATCCAAGCAGATACAAACAATACAAATTAAGCTCTTATTTCATTTTTACGCCATTACATGTTTTCCTAATTCAATACATTTTTATTGAACATATGCAACATGTGTACATTGTATCATTTTGTAGTTTACAACAAAAAATCGGAGTAATAGTCTTGCAATAAGGCATAACATACACATTTCAAGACCAATGTGTAAGAATATGAATCACAAACCATGCATTACTGTATAACACTGTTACAAAACTCTTTGACTGATGTACATGAGTCTAAGGGACCATTCACACCAGATACTGTAGGACTGCGCTGAGCGGTTATTGCAGCACAGTCCCACTGCATGACAAGGCAAAATTCTGTGACCGATTCACCCCACTGCGTTGCGGAGGTGTTCGGGCATGGTGCAATGAAAAAGAGTAGCGAGTGCACTACTTTTTTTCAGCACACTGCAGCGCGAGGTACCGCGCAGTGGCCAATTGAACTTAATGAAATGTCTCTGTGACATTTCAATAAAGTTTGTTTAAAATAAAAAAGAACAGTGTGTTAAAGAGCGGTGATTCCCATCGGACCACACTCTGCACTTAAATCGGTGGCTGGTGTGAAAGGACCCTAAACATAACTGCATATAATACATTCAACCACAAAATAATGTCTTAAAGGAAAAAATTTTTTTATTTTGGATAGAGTGGAGATGGATTAGAAAACCTTTAGATTTTTATTGCTGTCTGTGCCCGTTTTTACCATTATCATTGAAAGTGGAAGCAAAAGAAAACCATACATTTTGGGTTTTCCCCAGAAAAGTAATCGAAGGGAAATTTTCCCTGTGGGGACACTAGTTCTGGTGATTTGGGGGTCCCTAAGGACCTCCCTAATTTGTAGGGATTTTCCCTCACTTCCTGTTTTGGTTATGGGACAAGAAGTGAAGGTAAATCTACCCATCAGGACACAGATAGCAAAAAATAAATTGACAGGGGTCATAAACCTCCCTTAGGGCCAGTTCACACTACATGTGTTTCAGTTGCTTTTTGTTCTGCATTTAAAAGGCACAGAAAGTAGGTTATATGGTTGTCAATGTCATAGTTTACATCAGTGCTTGCAGTTCCAGTGCGTTCTGATTACAGATTGCACTTTACTGATTACAGGTTGCACTTTTCCTGCACAGAACTGTACTGGAATGCGGTAAAACAAATCAAAAATGCACCGGAAAGCACTGGAATGCACCAAAATGCACATGTCCCATCCACCACACTGCCTACCTCACCGACCTCATCCACAGATATTGTCCAAATCGTCTGCTCCGCTCCTCCCAAGACATCTTGCTCTCTAGCTCCCTTGTCACCTCCTCCCATGCTCAACTCCAGGACTTCGCCAGAGCGTCCCCCATCCTCTGGAACTCCCTACCCCAGTATGTCCGGTCAGCCCCCACCCTGTCTGCCTTTAAGCGATCTTTGAAAACTCACTTATTCAGTGAAGCCTACCCCACCTCTACCTCCACCTAAGAACTGTACTTGAGTCACCTCCATAAGATCATCCCCTGCAGCTATCACCTTTTTTACCACCTACCCCTTCCTTTAGATTGTAAGCTACACGAGCAAGGCCCTCCTATTCCTTCTGTACTGAAATGGATTGTAATTGTACTGTCTCCCTTTATATTGTAAAGTGCTGTGCAAACTGATGGCGCTATATAAATCCTGTATAGTAATAATAATTTAAATCGAAGAAAAAAAGAAAGGGGGAAAAAATTAACTGGATTGCATGAAAAACACACCAGAAAACGTAAAAAATGCATAAAAAACGCACCAGAAGGTGCCAAAAACGCATCAGAGTGCATCTGGACTGCATTTCTATGGTGTGAACCAGCCCTTACTCTATCCAAAATGAAAGAAAAAAAGTTTTCCCCATCGTTCTACTTTAAATCGACAACCAAAGCCAGTTTGGTTATATATTAGTAGAAACTGTCTGGTTGGGAATGCTAATACAGAGATGTTTGTTATCATGGGTTACACCAAGATGGCATCCCCATAGATCATACTGCAGAGCAGATGAGATTAGGCAATGTGCTTATTATTAGGGGGTTTTGTTAAAATATTAAAAAGGGGGGGAATAAAGAAGGAAGAGAAAAGAAAGTAGGAGGAAGAAAAGTTAGAGTAAAGGAGGGAAGGGAGGTGTCAGGGAATGAGCTCTGCTTAGCCAAATGTTAGTATGCCAAAGAAGTATGGTATATTGATTGAATCACACGGTTAACCATGATCTATCAAGATCACTGGGATGTTAATATTCTATTCAAGAGATCATATACATTCGAAAGTACATGTGTAAACTGAAAATATAGTCGTTGCCACAGGTAAACCTCAGAACAATGGTAAAATAAATTCATTTTAATGGAGGTAATGTATAACACTGTGCTGCAGTAGTAATTATATGGAAAAATTGCAATGCAAAAACACACATACAATTCCTTACTCTTCATGCACCCATAATATAAAGATGATCAATATGATTCAAATAAATTGCATCTCAGTCTAAATGAAAAAATACTGTACAACAAAAACATGATACAGATAGTGAAAATGCAAAGGGTGTGAAGGTAAGGAAGATAGGAACTACCCTTAACATTAATAAACAGAAGAAAACAACAGAATTGTATTCCAGTACTCCTTCATTCCTTGTTAGTTCTTCTGTACTGGACGCAGTTAGGCCCACAATTAATTTAAGACTCATGTTCCCTGACTAGTAGGTTCTAGACTGATTTGTAGTTTCTAAATGTAACCCGTTGAAATGTTATTACCACACTGCCAAGAAGGCCACTCTGACAGCAGATGGCAGAGCAGAAGCCAAGTCTGAACCAGAGGGCCCATGGACTGTGCCTATCCATTGGGAAAGACGTATAGCGGCAATCCACCGAATCACATTGAATGGGTGAGAGAGACCCATGCATTCACTAACAAAGTGAACATTGATAGTTCATCACCTCCGTTATCTACCTGCACATAGTTCTGAACATTACATACAGCTGCCCTAGTTTGTGTCCTAGTTATACCAGCGTCATCATTGGAATACATCTGCAGTACAGTTAGTTGACCGCAGGATATACAGTACAGTTACAGATCAAGATATAGCAGTGCCAATTGAATCAACCAGTCCATTTCCCTTTCTGCAGAGCAGGATTCATACTACTGTCTATCCTTTTGCCTTTGTTCATAGACATTTATACCAATCGCTGCAATTTACTACATCAAGCTCAATGGTTAGAGCTCTTAAAGGGAACCTTGTACTAATTCTTTACCATCGATTAGGAAAGTGTTAAATCTTCTCCTTTTCCCTAAACTATCTTTGATGTGACCATCCTGAGGAACTACCATCCACCCCTTGACGCAACTTCACATCAATTGAGCCCCAACAAGCGTGCAGAGGACATTATAGAGCTCTTAAAGGAGACAGTGCCAATTATAACTGAGAATTCTCTGTATTTCACATCTAATCCTTGTTATCCAGCATTGAGCTTATCTGTTATTGAAAGTAATTCCTGCACACTGGGGATCCAACAGTCCCCTCAGATTTGAGGCAGTGGATTATTACTGAAAGCAGGCCTACTAATAGTCACTGTTGCTTCATTGTAAATGTCATTACTTTTGCTCACAATTGCCAAGAGTGACCATACTTGCTGTCTATATCAGTGTTGTTTTGTTATTCTTGACTCAGTTACGTTCACTTCCAATATAAACTCTTCAGTTTGGTTTATACTACTATGTATGAGAGTCCATTTTACAGGTGCGATTTATCTGGGTCACCAAAGCATGGTGGTGTAACCAGAGGTTGGGCTTTCATCGAGAGGTCTAGATTGACAGGGAACCCAAAAATTACTAAGCAAACCTTAAGGAGGTAGTGCTACATAAATGTCTAAATCTAAGAACAAAAATTATATGTATAGTGGCTAACTAATATTTAGATGTGGTGTCTGCATTTGTTTTCCTTTTTTTTATGTATTTTATTCCTTTATTTTCATTTGCTGCTCTTGCCAGTAACACTCTCCTTCATTCCTCCTACCACTCCATCCCCCACAGCCACTTCCTCCTGTACCACTACCCCCTCCCTCCCAGATTGTAAGCTCGAAAGAGTAGGGCCCTCTTACCCCTCGTGTGCTGTCCGTAGCTGCTGTAATGTTTCATGTATTGTCCCCCCCTCTATTGTACAGCGCTGAGCAAACCCTTTGGCGTTATATAAACTCAATGTAATGTAATGTAACACAATTCATGTCCTCAGGTGACAATGCTCATCAGGAAGTGCATTAGGACTACAGAATTCCCCCCTCCTCTCATCGCCATAACATACAGGGAGGTGTTCTGTAGTTCACAGAGGTGAACTGAGCAAGACTCATAAGCCTACTTCAGAAAAAAACTGCACAGGACAGCTCCGAACCTCTTGCAGGATAAACTGGTAATTTTTTTCATTAAAACACAGCTGTAACAAAACACTTTCAATGTTATAATTAAAGAGTAACTCCATTTTTGTTGAGATAAAAACATTTCCCTCTGGGTGATCTATGTTCATTGCAAGGATTTTAACAAGCTTTGTTACAGATTCCTATCTTTTGCTATTCTGAAGAAATAGCTGTTTGTTTGTCTGTATCCAAGTGAATCTGTATGGGAGTGGTTTTAAAATTATCAATCAGCTGCATCACCTGCAGAGCTCTAATGAGGAAAGTAGCAGGGCCTGCATCCCTTTAGATATGATTTCCCTTTGGGAGTATCTCACCATAAATGACATTTTTCTTGCAGGGGATGCCAAAAATCAACCATGTGCAGACTTCTGGGAAAATCAGTCAGCCAATTGCTCAAGCATTTTCAGGGGGCGTTCTGTACACCATCTGTGTACAGAACGCCTCCTGGTAGTCATATTGCATTGCATTTTATAGAATATTACAGCACAAAAATCTAACCTCAGATATCAGAAACTCACCTGCAGCTGTTTATTTTCAGCCTTAATGTTTTCCAGATCCTTGATCTTTTGATTTAATTCTCTTTCTAAATTCTGCACTTTATTCCTGTATCAGCAAAAAAGATGCACAATGCATGTTAATGCTAACATATAAACATATAGTTTTTAAAATAGAACAAAGGTTTTTTTTGGATAGCGTAAGGGAGGGCTATAACCCCTGTCCATTTTTTTTTTGCCATCTATGTCCCATTGAAAAGATTTCCCTTCACTTCCTGTTCCATAACCAAAATAAGAAATGAGAGGAAATCCTTCGAAATTGAGGGAATCCCTAGTTGTCACCAAGATCACCTGAACTAGTGTCCACAATGGAAGATTTCATCTCTATTCCTGTTTTGGTGACAACCCAAAATTTGGGATTTTCTTATATTTTCACTCTATAAGATAACATTAAACAGGACAAATAGAGAGGCGGATCTCTCTAACCAGGGCAAAGACAGTGATAAATATCTGACAGGTGTTCTGATCTCACTATATTCTAACCATATATTGATAAAATTATGTACTCCAAGCTACAGTGCTGTGAAAAAGTATTTGCCCCTTTCCTGATTTTTTATTTGTTTGCATATTTGTCACACTTAAATGATTCAGATCATCAAACAAATCAAACAAATTTTAAATTTACACAAAGATAACCCGTGTAACTACAAAATAAAGTTTTTAAATGATGATTTCATTTATTAAGGGAAAAAAGCTGCCCAAAGCTGCCTGGCCCTATGTGAAAAAGGAATTGCCCCCCTCCCCCTCCTCCTTGCTAAATCATGAATGAACTGTGATTAACCACATGCTTTGGAAAGCAGAATTAAATTTCACTTTGCACTCCTTGGCCAGATTACTGACAGACCTGTTGAATCAAGAAACCACTTAAATAGAAGCTGTATGACAACACATCATGCCATAATCTAAAGAAATTCAAGAACAGATAAGAAACAAAGTAACTGACATGCATCAGTTTGGAAAGGGTTACAAAGCCATTTCTAAGGCTTTAGGAATCCAGAGAACCACGGTGAGAGCCATTATCCACAACTGGAGTAAACTTGGAACAGTGGTGAACCTTCCCAGGAATAGCCGGCCTACCAAAATTGCTCGAAGATGACTCATCCAAGAGGTCATAAAAGAACCTACAACAACATCTAAAGAACTGCAGGCCTCACTTGCCTCAGTTAAGGTAGTGTACATGATTCAACAATAAGAGAGATACTGGGCAAAAATGGCATCCATGCAAGAGTTCCAAGGCAAAAAGCCACTGCTGACCAAAAAGAACACAAAGGCTTGTCTCACATTTTCTAAAAAAAATCTTGATTATCTCCAAGACTTTTGGGCAAATATTCTGTGGACTGATGAGACAAAAGTTGAACTTTTTGGAACTTTTTCATAAAAAAGCATCATACCAACAGTGAAACATGGTGGTGGTAGTGTGATGGTCTGGGGCTGCTTTGCAGCTTCAGGACCTAGACAATGTGCCGTAATAGATGGAACCATGAATTCCAAGCTCTACCAGAAAATCCTAAAGAAGAATGTCCAGCCATCAGGTTGTGACCTCAAGCGCAAGCACACAGGTCCACCTCTGAATTGCTCAAAAAAAACAACAAATGTAAGCTTTTGGAGTGGCCTAGTCAACTTAAATCTGATTGAGATGCTGTGGCATGACCTTAAACAGGCCATCAGTTTGTAACCTCAAGCTCAAGTACACTTGGGATATGCAGTGGGGGGTTTAGGAGGCAATTACTTTTTCACATAGGGCCAGGCAGGTTTTTTTACGTTAATGAATGAAATCATCATTTAAAAACTGTATTTTGCGCTTACTTGGGTTATCTTTGTCTAATATTAAAATTTGTTTGATGACCTGAATCTTTTAAGTGTCACAAATATGCAAAATAAAAACAGAAAATACTTTTTCACACCTAAGAAAGACATTGAAATGATTATACGTTCCTTTTATTCACTCAAATAAGAGGACACAGTGGGGTTGATTAACTAAAGCTGGAGAATGCAAAAAATCTGGTGCAGCTGTGCATGGTAGCCAATCAGCTTCTAACTTCAGCTTGTTCATTTAAGCTTTGGCAAAACAAATCTGGAAACTGATTGGTTTCTATGAAGAGCTGCACCAGATTTTTTGTACTCTCCAGCTTTAGTAAACCAACCCCAATGCCTGCTGCTTTAGAAAGACAAGAGGAAAGAAAAGGTATACAATGCATTTTCCAGGACCCTAAACAATCCCCCTTCATCAGGACTACAAAAGGTACATACATTGAAAATATGTAGCAATCATCAATAAAAACTTTAAACAGATGTAGCCCAGTGCTGGTTAACTTACTTGTACTATTGCAACCAGGGCCAGTGCTAGACTATTTTGCGCCCTAGGCAAGACTAGCTACCAAAAAAAAATAAACAAAAATTTAAAGAAAAACTGTAGAAAATCAACAAAACATGAAACTGCTACATTTCTTTTAATTTGCAAAAATAAGTACCATAAGATGCCACCAACACTAATATTAAAGACAAAATCAGTGTCACGGACGGACTGTATCTGTGGCTGGCAGTGGCAGAGTGACATTTGCAGTGAGTGGAGGATGACGGATCCACACTCTGACAGATCCCAGGCTGCAATTCCCCAGGCAATAGGAGGAGATAAAACACTGTGACAGCAGGCAGCCCAGCCCCCACACACACACATAGATCAGCAGGAACTAGAAGAGCAGGCTTTGGAATTGTGATGATGTCATAACTCACTGACACGTTGCATATGTGATGGATGGTCGGCCAGGTCACACTCACACAGACATGAGACATCAGAGTCAGATATCACCATCCTCCACAGACACAGCTCTTCCTCCTCTGATGAATGGGAAGAGAAGAACTGGAACGCCACAGTGATCAGCAGCCACCAGCTGGCTTGCAGTAAGGGACTGAGTCTGAGAGGAACACTGGAAGGAGCAGCAGCTCAGCTACTACACTGGCCCCAGACACCCAGCATCTGCCTCTGTCCTTTCTTCCTCCCCTCTGCTGCCCCTCCTCTCAGCTGCAGGTTCATTCATGACGTGGCGGCATCCCACACAGAGAGAGCCGGCCTGTGTTGTGCTCCCAGGTACCCCTAGGTGGCAGTGCGTCCTAGGCAGCCACCTAGTTTCCCTAGTGGAAGCACTGGCCCTGATTGCAAGAACTATGCTAAGTTAGCGCTCCCTCTAGTGTTCAGCTGTGATAGCGAAATATTGTTCAGACGCTGAGAAAGGGAAGGACCCTACAGATGAGCTGAGGATTGTGGGATATGTAGTTCAGAAAGCTGGATTTGCAGAGGGACCAATACAGTTGTGAATTACAAGTTCCAGCTGGCTGGCAGAGGAAATGGAATGCTGGGAGAGTATATATAAATCAGACCCCGGGAGAAAGGCTCTCTCTTGGGACTACAGGCAGAAGCTGAGAGAAGAGACCTGGTTGCTGGGAATAGTGGAGTAGGCCACGCAGGCTGGACAGTGTGGAGGATGTTTGGTGGATGAGCTACAGACCTGGAGGCAGATCATCCGTCCCCAGCTTCCTGTTGGCAGAGTGACTAACTGGAGTTGTGCACATCATCACTGACACAGCCACTGCGGAATTCCAGTGTCACAAAGTGCTAGGTCGGGTGCCACACACTGGTTGCAAATTCTGCAGGAGCCTTCCAAGACATCCTGGATCCCTTGAGCTGCGGTGTCATCAGGATTGGTGAGCGGGCTGAAGTCCACACTGTACACTACACACTGAGGGACACTGCATGCAGACACCTTTACCACACATCTGATAGTAAATCAGTCACCTTTTCAGGAGCCATTTACCTACATTATCAGGGATTGCTGGTTGCCATTGCACAGTAACCTCTTTGGGGCCTATTGAGCTAGCTGAAGATTCAGGACGCTCTTTTCAAGACTCCCTTTCACCACTCTTCAAGCCAGAGACTGGCTGTGCCTCACATCAGTGCTCATATTAAAGGGGAACTCTATTTAGAATTTGTTTATAGCATAGTTGATATGTTTAGCTCTCTGAAAGTGTGTTGGTTTTTTCTGCACCTGTGGCATCAGGATTCTATGACAGCAGACTGACACCGAAGAAAAGTCGTTTTCTCCCTTTCATACCTGGGATCAAAGGCTCCCTTTGAGTATATCTGAAATTCTGTTTGACTTATTGTGTTCACTACTGCAGGTACATTTGTGTTTCACTCTGAGATTAGTAATCAGGTGACTACCTTAAGAAGAATGTGCTTTAACTGTCTGCAATTAAAGAACCATTAGTAAATACTCAATTGTTTACTGCACTCTTTGAAATTTTGATTTCTTGCGCATTATGTTTGATTCCAGGGTGTCAGAGGTGTCAGGAGGCGCGCAAGGTCAGGGCAACCTTTGAGGACTGTCATCTTACAGCGGCCGTCATGAGAGTAGTGCTACACATTAACATCAATAAAAACATTAAAAACATTAATTAGGCATGAAAGTCCACTACCAAATGTTTTTGTTGATTTAACTAGGTGTTAGTGTATTTATATTCCCTGTGTTGCTTGTTTGCCTTACCTTGTAATGATGGGCTCAAATGTAGTGGCTGCAGTTTGTAATGTCATGGCTAATTAATGCCACTATTTCTATGTATTCACTGGATTTTGCAATTGTTACATTTGGGATGTTGGCAGGACATAATGGTTAGATATCACTCAGCGCAGTTAACTTTCTGTCAGTATTTCTATGTATTCATTCACCTAGCTTGTCCCTATTCACTTAAGGGACAAGCAATGTCTTGGTCATGCAGTGTCCAATCCATGCCTTGCCATTTCCTATGTGTTGCATCACAAATGTGAGTGTGCCTATGTGATGAAACATACTGTAGCTTTTCCCTTCATTGCTCTTTCTACTTGTGTCTGCATCAGATCTAATTACTATGCAGCTTTCACCTGCAGAACACTAGACTGAGAGACCCAGAGACTGTGGGACATATAGTTTCTTCACAGGAAGTATCAGTTCCTACACTACAGACAGAGGTCATGCATTACCCTATGCAGTGCCATTCCGCATGCCAATGTTTGAACAAAAACATAAACTGCTGACACAGGAATTTGAAGACTTAATCGTCTGTAGGCTGTGCATACAGGGCAACAAATGAGACCATGACACTACATGATCAATTTACATCATATGCAGGTGAAAAACACAAGGTGAAGGTAGAAAGGTTTATAATGCCTTTAGGGATGCACCGATAGCGTTTATTTTTCAAGTATGAGTACTGATACTTTCGATCAAGAACTCACCGATACTGATTACCAATACTTTGCAGTGCGATTTGCATTAATGGATGCAAATTGCCCCCCAAAGAATAGCATGCAATTTGAACAGGAATGCGATTCCTGTCCAAATCGCATGCAGTTTCCCCACTGCTCCTGCGTTAACCTAGGCTTGTCTTAGGAGGAGCGGTGCAGGGTGGTTTCCCGCAACGAAGTGTGGGTGAGTGGGGATGTATACTATGGAGACAGATGCTCCATAATCTCAGTGGTAGGAGAGGAGAGAAAACAGCTGGGATTTGAAATCCCCGCTGCTTTCTTTCCTCTCCTAGCAGGGATGACAGTTCCGGCTAGAGGACTTTTGATTGGTCAGCATCGTCACATGGACTGTGCTGATCAATCAGATTCCATCTAGCTTGAACTGTCATCGCTGCAAGGAGAGGAGAGAAAACTGCTTCACAGCTCTGGGGATTTGAAATCCTCGTGGCTTTCTCTCTTGACCAATTCATTGGGCGGAGATAACGGCTTCTATTTGTATCAGATGGAGATTCATGTCCAGGCCTTACCAAGGGGGCCACAGGCAATGAAAGCACATTTTTAGTACCGTGGAGGAAGGTTAGAACATCTTCTAGGTCAGGGATCTCCAACTTTATAAGCAAAAGGTCAGTTGACTATCTTTCAGGCTTCAGGGGGGCCGGACTTTGGTCAGTGGGAGTAGAAAATGTCCCATCATTTGTTTTAATGGGAGGAATAGTGCCATGTTGTTCGTATGAATGGGATGAATAGTCCCCCATTGATGTTCTCAGGAGGGGGAATTGTGCCTCATCATTGGTGTCAGTTGGTGAAATAGTGCCCCAAGGGCCAGGTAAAGGCAAGCAAATGGCCACATATGGCCCCCGGTATGCAGATTGAAGACCACTGTTCTAAGGTTTTTCTTGCAGTTTGTGTCCCTATTAAAGAGATTTATCCTCACTTTCTGTCTTTGTGACCAAACAGGAAGTGATGGAACATCTCCGTATTCAGGACACACAGAGAATAACTGTAGAAATAGTGGCTAGAGCTCTCCTCCTAGATAAATGAAGTGGGTGAGTAGCAGGTTTATGGAGCAGAAGTATGGATATTTGTATGGATGGATTATTCAGTAGTTGCATAGTGCCACATAGTCTGTATGCTGATGACGCTTTAAGTAAACAGAATTCAGTATTATGCAATATATGCAAAGAGCTATAATTTACGTATACATACAGTAGCAGCTCTGATTCCAGGTTCTTTCTATGCCATGTCTCATTTTCCTCTTCAAGGTTCTTCACTTTGATTTGCAAATCCTGATTAAATGGACAAATACATTACTTCAGTTTATATGCTGATAACAAGCTTTAAAACAAGCTGTGACTTTGGTAGCGGCTTTAAGAACCAGCGCAGGGATTTCCGATAAAAGTGATCAGGTGGATCTAAAACCGCCTGATCACTTTTATGGGGTTCTCAAAGGGTGCACCCCAAGTTGGCGTCACCCACGGCGGTTCCCAAGCTCTCTTGTTCTTTGCCCCAGGGGCACAGCAAACGGCTTCCTCAGTGAAAGCAGGAGGAACTCAGGGAACATCCATTCTCTGATCCCTCCTGCAGTGTATTACATCACTTCCAGGATCACAGCTGTCATTCCTCAGCTAATGGTGACGAGGATGCAGCTATTCAAAAATGATCTGTTTGAATAGCTGCATTGGAAGGCAGGGGAGACATTGGGGGTATAATAGACCCCCAATGCCTCCATAAAGAGTACCTGTCACCAGGCCATGCTATTGCATAAGGAGCTGTTTAGTCACCTATGGAGATATTTGGGTATCATAGTTTTTTCCAATTCCACGGGCATGTGCAATTTTAAGACTTGACATGTTTGGTATCACTTTACTCGATGCAACCCGATCATTTAAACGTTATCAAAAATTTGGGTTTAATATTGTGTTTGTTTGCACTATATTTAATTTCAGTGTATTTGTTCCTTAAAATATGTGTTTAATAAATAACTGCTCAAATATTGTGCAACATAAAAAATTGCAACTACCACCACTTTATTCTCCAGTTTTTCTGCTTTAAGAAAATATATACTTTTTGGGGATCTACAGAAAATTCTAGGGAAAAAAATGCAGATTTTAATGTGTGCAAAATAAAATGCCAGGTATATAAGTAGTTAAAGTAGTTCTATCACAAGAAAAGTATAAAAGTATGAGGGTGGCCCCTGGATAGATGGAAAAACAAATCCTTTAGCCAGTTAAACAGCTTCCATACAGTATATGTATTTCATCTTTGTATTTAGCAGTTTTACCTGGACTTTAGCTTTATCAAAGGATAAACTTCGAAGGAGCAGGGTAGAAACTTTTTCTCCGACAAATGAATTAGAATTTTGTTTGGGAAAGTAAAAGTATATTTACTTTAAACTCGACTGTTAAAAGAAAATTGTTTTGAAATACTTTTGAATGACATTCATCGTGTCATCAATTGAGCCTTACACGCCTGCTTAAGGGCTGGTTCACACCAAATGCAGTTCAGCGCATTTTTTAATCTGCATCAAAAACGCACGCATAGTGTTTTCCATGTATTCTAATGGCCACAGTACATACCAAGGCAGTGCATTTCAATGCAGCCAACATATGTAGAATATGCTGCATTTTTTCTGTATGGAACACGGCAAAACACATGGAAAACGCACCAGAACACACATATCCTGAATTGAGATGCCCTTGCTTTCACTGGGGTTGCCTCCCAAAGCTATTTGCTGGGAACCCACATTAGGGTTCTCACATGTAATCAGTGTCAGGCCCATTTGCAGGTGTGAATGCAGCCTAAAGCTGGCCATACATTATACAATTATCTTCCAATTTTCTGCCCAATTTCCTTTAGATTCATCTTCAACTGTGTAGTGCAAGGGCCTGCCTAATTGGATACAACTGAAAGTGTTGTTCAGGTTTGTCTTCCTATTATATGGTTTTTGGTAAATCTAAACCAAAAATCTCCAGATAATTTTATAATGTATGGCCAGCCTAAGCCCTGGTTCCAAATGCAATTTCAAAGTGATGCGACTTGATCCCATTTAAAAGGAGACTTCAAAGTAGCACTGATATAGACACAGTGTGCGATTTCAGTGCCATTTAGTCTATATGAGTTAAATATATGAGTATATATATATATATTTTCTTTATAAATATATACAGGCATACCTCGGTTTACGATATTGGTACTGTGATTCAGCGCTATAATTACAATAAGTGCAATAGCCTATTGTTGATACATATAATAACGTCAGAGTAATAATAGATAACACTAAATCATACAATACATATGGTATAAGTTCCGATAGGATCTGATTCAGTGAACCACAAGTGCTAATTAGTGCACAAACAGAAAAAGAGGTTCAGTGGAACCTAAACAGGTGATGTTGGTTTGATTCCCATCAAGGGATATGATTAAACCACGGTGCTTCCCTATATAGGGATAAATATTCCCATATAAGTGACATTTGTATTATTCATAATGAAACAGATCAATTAATGTCCATAAATATTGTTATAGGATCAACCATGCGTTTGCAAACGTGCTCACGCGTTTGGTGATAAAGTGAGGTGAAAATCCAAACCAGCAGGCATATGCGCTCACCTTCCCACTGCGACCACCAAGGGCCACACCGCCTTTTGGATCACCCTGGATCCTGCTTTTAATCACTGGGTTGGTCAGGCTCCACACTCCTTGATGGTATCTCCTTCACTCCCCTTTATTATATGTATCAATAATAGGCTATTGCACTTATTGTAATTATAGCGCTGCATCACAGTACCAATATTGTTTTGTATGCACCTTGAGGGGATGTGTTAGATGTTAGCTGCTCTTATTTAGTTTGCATAACAGCGCAGGTGGATCCCTTTACACTTTTTTATACCTCGGTTGACGAACACCTCTGTTAACATAATTTTCTGTTTACGTATGAAAATCCATTGAAAATAATGTTTTTTAATCATGTCCCTGTACAGTACTATGCCTTTATAAAGAGTTTTGAACTTTGTTTTACTTTTATCTGACCTCCGGAACGGGTTAATTGGTTTTCAATACATTTACAATTTTTTTTAATCATGTCCCTGTACAGTATTAATTCCTTTAAAGTGCACTTTACAAAGAGTTTTGAACAGATAAGACTTTTTTTTTACTTTTTTCTGACCTACGGAATGGATTAATTGGTTTTCAATGCATTTCCGAATTAATTTTTAATCATGTCCCTGTACAGTATTTATGCCTTTAAAGTGCACTTTATAAAGAGTTTTGAACAGATAAAAGACTTTTTTTTTACTTTTTTCTGATCTCCAAAACGGATTAATTGGTTTTCAATCCATTCCTATAGGAAATCGTGTTTCGGTTTCACGAACTTTTTGCAATACGAAAAGTTTCGCAGAACTAACTAAATTCGTAAACCGAGGTATGCGTGTATGAGTCAAATCACACTGAAGTGGTTAAAAAGTAATGCAGGAACTATTTTTCAAATCGTGATACTTGAAATCGCACCTATTAAGACAGTGCTATTGAAGTACATTAGATTACAGTACAGATTAGAGTACATTGTAAATCGCATGTCGCACCTGAAGTCGCAGCAGTGTGAACCAGGGCTAAGGGATAGTTAAGAGACAAAATGTCAAAATGTTGGAAACTCACCTGCAACTGTTTATTTTCAGCCTCAAATTTTTGCTTTAATTCTTTCTCGAAATCCCGCAATTTATACCTGTACCAGGAAAAAAAAATAAAAGCATGATGCATGTTTGTATTGTATAGTTAAACTGGCCATACACACTTCAATATCACACAATTCCACATCCACCCAACAAAACGTAGACGAAGGAATCTCCCCCACCAGCTATTGGGATTGATTTACTAAAGGCAAATAGACTGTGCACTCTGCAAATGCAGTTGCTCAAGAGATTAGTATTAGCTATTTTGCTTGCACATGATTGGGTGATGGAAGTCAGCAGAGCTTCCTCTCATTTACTAAGCTCTGGAGCAACTGCACTTGAAAAGCAAACAATCCATTTGCCTTTAGTAAATCAACCCCATTGTGTTCTGACAGCCGGCAACCATGACAATTAAAGACATTTCTCCTCGCTTCCTATCTCGGTGACCAAACAGGAAGTGTTGGAAAATGTCTTCAATCAGGATACAGACAGCAAAATAATAGATGCCCCCTCATAAATAAATATATAAATAAACAGTTGGTACGTTGCCAAGACTGTTTTATGCATTCTCTATTGAGCATAAGACTCTCAATATTTATCTGTATGAGATACAAAATAAATACATAATGCCACATATAATCCATTAGTATCCAATATATACAAAGAGCCATCATTTAGGCATACATACACTTCCATGTCTAATTCAAGTTGTTTTCTCGTCAGCATCTCTTTTTCCCCTTCAGCGCTCTTCACTTGGCATAGTAAATCCTGATTAAATGGACAAATACATTACTTTAGTTTTATACAGGGCTTTTTTTTTTCAAACAATTGTTGCTGGAACTCCCCCCTTCTGAGTCAATTTTTGTCACTGCCCCTTACCCACCTCCGTTCACCATCACTTGGTTCCACCCCCCACCCACCTCTTAGTACCTCTCCTTTTAGAGAATACAGAGCCAAGTATCATTTTGTGGTGCTAAATAATTTACATGGGATTTGTTCATGAAAACAAGAAAAGCAGAAAAATAGATCCCCCGCAGCCAGCAACAATAGATTCCTCCAGCAACAATGGACCCCAAAAACAAAATACCACCTCTGCAACAATAGACCCCCAGCAGTTACAACAGATCTTTCAACAACCAGCATCAATATACTTGCCAGCAACAATGAACAATAGACCCCTCCCTCAACAGCAGATCTCTTCCAGCAACAACTTACCCCCAGCAACAATAGATCCACCACCAGCAATAACACACCTCCCCAGCAACAACAGACCACCAAACAAAAATAGATCCCCTTCAGTGACATTAGACCCCCCGCAGCCAGCAACAATAGATTCCTCCAGCAACAATGGACCCCAAAAACAAAATATAACATGCAACAATAGACCCCCAGCAGTTACAACAGATCTTTCAACAACCAGCATCAATATACTTGCCAGCAACAATGAACAATAGACCCCTCCCTCAACAGCAGATCTCTTCCAGCAAAAACTTACCCCCAGCAACAATAGATCCACCACCAGCAATAACAGGCCTCCCCAGCAACAACAGACCACCACACAAAAATAGATCCCCTTCAGTGACAATAGATCCACCAGCAGCCACACAACAATAGATTCCTCCAGCAACAATGGACTCCAAAAACAAAATACCACCCCTGCAACAATATACCCCCAGCAGTTACAATAGATCTCCCAGCAACCAGCATCAATAAACTCGCCAGCAACAATAGACCCCTCTTTCAACAGTAGATCCCTTCCAGCAACAAGTGACCTCCATCAACAATAGATCCATCCCCCACCAGCAATAACAGACCTCCCCAGCAACAATAGACCCTCCACAAATTAGATCTCCTTCAGTGACAATAGATTCCCAAGCAGCCAGCAACTATAGATCCTCCAGCACACCTCAGCACCCCTTGCCTTTACATACATTCAGTGCTGGAGGTGCCAGAACTGGTAATACACCTCCTGTATTAGAGTGAAGGAGATGAAGAAGGAGCACAGGGGGAACATTTGAACAGCAACACTGTCAATCTGGGAAGAGGAAAGTGTTAGATGTACCAGCAGATTTAAAGCCAAACACCTGGCAAATGTTTTTTTTCCGATGCATGTGCCCACACTGCATGGGTTAACTGCTCGTTTTGTCTAAGGGTGAACACAAAGCCTATACTCACCCGATCCTCCAGAAAACAGCGCTCCCCCACGCCCAGTGGTGGACTGTTCCTGCCATCTTCACATCCATCGCTGGTTTATGGGTGTGATGACATGCACAGTCCACTGCACAAGATCACTAGACAGCGGGGGGGGGGGGGCAGCTGGTCAGGAGCGGCGGTAAGGACTAGTCATGCACTGGGAGGATCAGCAGATTAGCCCTGTTGTGGGCTGGCAACAAGAAACATTTTTGTGGACTGTGGTGTCAACCATCCCAGTGTCTTTTACACTTATACCCCCTTCCTGCCCAGGCCAATTTTCAGCTTTCAGCGCTGTCACACTTTGAATGACAATTGCGCGGTCATGCAACACTGTACCCATATGAAATTTTTATCATTTTTTTCACACACAGCATTCTTTTGGTTGTATGTAATCACCTCTGAGTTTTTTTATTTTTTACTAAATAAAACAAAAAACACCTGAAACTTTTGAAAAAAAAACCGCACTTTTCTTCGTTTCTGTTATAAAATTTTGCAAATAAATAACATTTCTTTATAAATTTAGGTCAAAATGTATTCTGCTACATTTTGTTGGTGAAAATAATCATAATAATTGAATTTGTATTTTTTTTTTCAAATGTTTCTATTTTTTTTATTTTTTATTATATTTTTTCTGTTTTTACTATTTTATTTTTCAGCACACTGTGACCAAAGCAATACAATGTTACCATAATAACATTGAACTACTCTGGGCAAGTGATCAGGATTTATTTATATTTTTTAACACTAAGATTGCTAATACCAATGTATTTAATTGATATTTGCAATAATTGTTACTGAATGAAACTGATTCAGTCAGTCTTTTGTTGTGATTAGCTGTGATTGGGCAAAGCTGATCACATGATACAGATGGGCTGTGATTGGCCCTGTCTGTATCATGTGACTGCCTTGACCAGTCACAGCTAACAACATAATTGTATACAATGGATGGCATGACAGGAAGCAATCCATTGTATACAATTGACATGTGATCTGCTGTGATTAGTCACAGCGGTCACATGATACCTGCAACAGGCTGATGTAGTGATATGTCATCGGCTGTGTCCCGTGGACACAGCCGGTGACAGATCAAGCCGCTGCGCGACCCCACAGCCGCGTGAGCGGCTCGTTTTGATAGGACTTCATATGATGCCCAGTCACAATGGCGAGTGTCCCGTCTGGCTGTCAATCTGCTATAGGCTGGGCAGGAAGGTGTTAACAAAAGCCGATTGCTAGATCAAATTCTGTTGAGTGAGAATGGCCATAGATGGATCAAAATTTCAGTCCATATTTGGCCAGCTTAATGCACCACCACACTTTGTTTTATGGTGCAGTTACACACTGAGGCTGATGGAAGCCTAAAAGGAAGTTACCAAATGGACCATGCAGCCTATATAATATAAAAAATACTATATAAGCCACATGGTCCATTTGGTAACTTCCTTTTAGGCTTCTATCAGCCTAAGAGTGTAAGTGTACATGTATTTGAGTTACTTGGACCATACCGCTATATTTTTCAGGTGAGAAGGCGGGAGATTGATGGTTGGTATTTCTATATTTATTTTTTACCACCCACTTTGGCATTGCTCAGTGTGGTCCTAGGCATGCCCTGCGTTGCAAAAAATGGTGCTTGCCTTGTTTTTTTTTGGGTTTTTTTAAGAGTTCTTGTGCATTGGTAGCTGACTCAAATGAATGGGCTGCCATAACGCAATGCAAGGTAAAGCGTGGCACAAAGCTTGCTAAAGCTTATGTGTTCACATAACGCACCAGACCTTAATGGTATGAATGCACCCTAAAACTTACAATAATTAAAGGTGTGTGAGTTGGCCCAGGGCAGTTAGGGAATAGTTCATAGTAATGTGGCCTTTGATTTACATCTTAAATTGCAACATGGTGTATGGCAATACAGCACTTGTATCATATGGTACATATGTAACATGGCCACTGTATGACATGACCATAGTCATTGTGTTCCATTTCAGGTAACGCTGCTCTTCTGGTAACATTGCACTGATTTTGGCTGTAAAGGTGGAATTTTACTTTTGGATTATATTAACGTTCATGCACAGTAACACGAATTACACCATTGGAGTGGCATCCCAATACACTTTCTCCAACACACTTGTATTGTATTGAGCAGCAGCACATGCAAATGAATGGTTTGCCTTAACGCAATGCATGTTAACGCTCAAAATTATGCACCACACTAATGTAATTTGGCCTTCACAGTATTATGTTTTCTAATACTAAAGCTGGCCATACCAGCATGGATCATTCTTTTTCAAACAGCCAATGGCAAAGTGCTGTGCCGCAATGATGACTCCCAAGCATGTGACGTCATCGAGGCTCTGCCATTCAAACTGCTGGAGAGCACAAACCTGAAAGGAAGACTGGGCAAGAATGGGAGCTCCAGCAGCGGTGAAAGCACAGTGCTGGAGGGCTCCATTTTAGAGGTAAGTCTGCCATAATGTGCTAGAATGTGGTGCATGTTATCCCATTATGGCATAACACTGCAGAGGAGCCATTTATAAAGGTGGTAGAGTTTGCAACTACTATAAAGCCTATCTCTGGGCAACAATTCATTTTTGTATATGAATATACTGTATATATTTGAATATATTTCAAACTGTTCATATTATAATCATGTTTACGCCTTAGGAATTCCGTGTATACTCTTTATACACTGCTCAAAGAAATTAAAGGAACACTGAAAACACATCAGATATGTATACTGATATGGACTGGGTAAATGTGTTAGGAACGTAAGGATACCCCATCGTTTGATGGTAATGAAAATTATCAACCTACAGATGACTGAAAGTTAATTGCAGCAAATCAAAATGGTGCTCAGGTACCCAGGGCATCACTGAGCTCTTAGACAGTCTGAGGTGCAACCTGGCGGTGTCGAATGGACCGAAACATGATATTCTAGAAGTGTTCTATTGGATTTAGGTCAGGCGAACATGGGGGCCATTCAATATTATCGATTCCTTTATCCTCCAGCAACTGCCTGCATACTCTCGCCACATGAGGTCGGGCATTGTCCTGCACCAGGAGGAACCCAGGACCTACTGCACCAGCGTAGGTTCTGACAATAGGTCCAAGGATTTCATCCCGATACCTAATGGCAGTCAGGGTGCCATTGTCTAGTCTGTAGAGGTCTGTGCGTCCTTCCATGCATATGCCTCCCCAGACCATCACTGATCCACAACCAAAACGGTCATGCTGAACGATGTTACAGGCAGCATAATGTTTTTGGCGGCTTCTCCAGACCCTTTCACGTCTGTCACATGTGCTCAGGGTGAACCTGCCTCATCTGTGAAAAGCACAGGGCACCAGTAGCGGACCTGTAATTCTAGTGTTCAATGGCAAATGCCAATTGAGCTCTATGGTGCCAGGCAGTAAGCACAGGGCTCACTAGAGGGCATTGGGCCCTCAGGCCAGCCTCATGAAGTCTGTTTCTGATTGTTTGGTCAGAGACATTCACACCAGTGGCCTGCTGGAGGTCATTTTGTAGGGCTCTGGCAGTGCTCATCCTGTTCCTCCTTGCACAAAGGAGCAGATACCGGTCCAGCTGATTGGTTAAGGACCTTCTACGGCCCCATCCAGCTCTCCTAGAGTCACCGCTTGTCTCCTGGAATCTCCTCCACAGGGGCGGACTGACCATTTGGAAACTCGGGCACCGCCCGAGGGCTCGGGGTCAGTAGGGGGCCCCATGAGATGCCCCTGGTACCTTTTGCATATGCTTTTTTGAGTTTGGGCAAAAACACAGGGGCCCCATGATCCCCTATTGCCCGGGGGCCCCATGAGTTGTCAGTCCGCCCCTGCTCCTCCATGTTCTTGGGGCTGTGCTGGGAAACACAGCAAACCTTCTGGCAATGGCACGTATTGATGTTCCATCCTGAAGGAGTTGGACTGCCTGTGCAACTTCTGTAGGGTCCAGGTACGCCTCATGCTACCAGTAATGACACTGACCCTAGCCAAATGCAAAACTAGTGAAAAACAGTCAGAAAAGATGAGTAGGAAAAAAAATGTCATTGGCCTCCACCTGTAAAACCATTCCTGTTTTGGGGTTGGTCTCATTGTTGGCCATCTAGTGCACCTGTTGTTAATTTCATTAACACCAAAGCAGCTGAAACTGATTAACAACCCCCTCTGCTACTTAACTGACCAGATCAATATCCCAGGAGTTTAATTGACTTGATGATATACTCTAATTAAAATGTGTTCCTTTAATTTTATGAGCAGTGTACATGAGATAGAGATACCATATTTTCCTTCTCCAGTGTGGTGATCTTCTCTGTAGCAGACTGTAACTCAGCCTTTTGGGTCTTGAGCATCTCATTCATATCCTGATTTTCTTTCTTCAAGAAAGCAAAAAGAGAATTATGCATATATATTTGGTCTACAACTTAATCAGTGTGCACAAAATTATGATGTAAAAATATACACAATTGGTGTATCTTTGCCAAAACAATATGACATAATAGCCAAGTTTCAAAGTCCACTGCACATTGGAAATCCATAAATCTGCTATTGCGAAAATGCCCTTAACCCACTACACTGTGAAAAAATAATGCCACCTTTCTTCTGCTTGAAAGAGCTGTGATGAGACCTTCTCTAAAAACACCACCACCAACAGTCTTCATCTTTATAAGTTCACCCTGTTTAATGATCTCTAAGTTATAGAAGGTCTCAGATCTCCTATGGAATTCTCCATGTAGGTATACCATACACATCAATCCTTACACCTACATAGATCCTTGTAGATCTCCCTCATGGCACAGGGGACTTTGTACAAACTAAAATAAAAACGTTTTGAGTATACATACTAAACAAGATGGATAACATTTTTAAATGGTTGTGAATCCTTATATTTACCCACTGAAGTGGTGACTATCCTCGGATGGTACACAAAGATGAAATAAATCCTACCACATAAGTTGTTCCTGTTTATCTCTTCTCTACAGCCTCCTAAAGCACATATTTTACACTGCATTTCTTAGCTCTAGAAGGCAGGTGGGTATTCAGTGAATATTACAACCTTGAAAGCTGATGCACTTTTAGGCAGGTGTAGTATATTTTCTCCACTGTAGGTGGAGCTAGTCCATGGTAGCAATACATCTGGAAGGGAAGTCAAGCGAAACTGGGTTTCCCTATGGTTTTCTGGTGCAGCGCTCTGGCTGGCTACGCTGCATCCATGTTACCCTGGGGGCCATCTTGGGTCAAGCAGTGTCTTTTTACATCCCCAGCCCCAGGAGTTGGCACTCATTTGCAAAGTGGCTAGTGTAGGGACTAGCATCAGGGAGAGGTTCTGGAGGAGTAAGGAAAGCTTAGGGCCTACATCTGCAATATCAGAAAGCTCCCTTTTGGGTTAGACCTGTCAGGCTGCTTTCCACCCCTCTTGGCAGGTGCTGTCTTCAGTTTGGGCCTACTCGCCTCTGACCCTTTGCTCCACTGACTTCCAACTCGGGTGGCTTCCCCACCGGGTTGTTGTACTGTTTACAAGTGCTTCAGTTGGTTACTGTGTTCTGGGCCTCTGTGTGTTTACTACTGCTGCAAATACCCAACACACTTTTAAATACATTCCACCATTTATTTTACAACATTTTTGTAAAAAAGCTATTGCTGAAATGTGCTGTTGGCTGTAACATGCTGTTTGTGTTTTATTTCCAGCTACTGTTGACTGTACAGAACAACAAAGAAGAGAAAGAAGAGGGTTTCATGTATATTGAACTACAAGGGGTCTTCCGGACCTCCAAACTGACAGGAAGTGCAGTGATGTCAGGTGACATCAAATCACTTCTTCTGTGAACATTATGTGGAACCAGGCCCGGACTGGAACAAAAAATAGGCCCAGGCATTATAGACTGAGCAGCCAATTTCTTGGGGGGGGGTGGGGTGCAAGGGCATTTGTGGGGCAGTTGGTGACGGAATATTCACGGAGTCGATCCTCTGCACTGTAATGTAAAGGGGCACTGTGATATAAAGGGGACTGTACAGTGCCTCTTTCATTACAGTGCCCCTAGAGATCTAATCACAGTGCCCTCTATATATTCAAAGAGATGGCCCAATCCAGCAAAGAGACATCCCTATTCAGCAAAGAGACAGCCCAGTCCAGCAAAGATACATCCCCATATAGCAAATAGACATCTCAATCCAGCAAAGAGACATCCCAATACACAGACATCCCAATCCACAAAGAAACATCCCAATCCACAAAGAGATGGGATGTCTCTTTGCTGGACATGGATGTCTCTTTGCTGGACCCAACTGAGCAAAGAGACATCCCCATCCAACAAAGAGACATCCCTATTCAACTAAGAGACATCCCAATCCAGCAAAGAGACATCCTGTTCAGCAAAGAGACAGCCTGTCCAGTAAATAAACAGCCCCTCCAGTAAAGAGACAGCCCCTCCAGCAAAGAGACAGCTCGTCCAACAAAGAGACAGCCTCTCCAGCAAACAGACAGCCCGTCCAGCAAAGAGACAGCCTGCCCAGCAAGGAGACAGCCCATCCAGTAAAGACAAAGAGACAGCTCAACCAGTAAAGAGACAGCCATTCCAGCAAAGATACGGCCCAATCCAGCAAAGAGACAGCCCAGTCCAGCAAAGAGACAGCCTTTCCAGCAAGAAGAAAGCCCATCCAGTAAAGAAACAGCCCATCCAGTAAGGAGACAGCCCATCCAGTAAAGAAACAGCTCCACCAGTAAAGAGACAGCCCGGCCAGCAAAGAGATGGCCCAATCCAGCAAAGAGACAGCCCAGTCCAGCAAAGAGACAGCTCATCCAGCAAAGAGACATCCCATTCAGTAAAGAGACAGCCCCTCCAGTAAAGAGACAGCCTGTCCATAAATGAGACAACTCAACCATCAAAGAGACAGCCCAATCCAGCAAAGAGACAGTCTAATCAAGCAAAGAGACAGCCCGTCCAGCAAAGAGATAGCTCAACCAGCAAATAAACAGCCCATCCAGTAAGGAGACAGCCCATCCAGTAAAGAGACAGCTCAACCAGTAAAGAGACATCCCATCCAGCAAAGCGACAGCCCAATCCAGCAAAGAAACAGCTCAATCTGGCAAAAAGACAGCCTGTCCAGCAAAGAGACAGCTCAACCAGCAAAGAGACAGCTCAATCCAGCAAAGAGATAGCTATCCAGCAAATAGACAGCCCATCCAGTAAAGAGACAGCTCAACCAGTAAAGAGACATCCCATCCAGCAAGGAGACAGCTCAACCAGCAAAGAGACAGCTCAATCTAGTAAAGAGAAAGCCCGTCCAGCAAAGAAACAGCCCATTCCAGCAAAGACACAGCCCAATCCAGCAAAGAGACAGCCCAATCCCCCCCCCCCACACACACACACACACACACCAGCTACACAGCAGGATGTGTGACTGCACTGCATTCACCTTCCTCCCCTGTGCAGCCATCATGGTTAGGTGACATCCCGCCGTGCTCAGTGCAGTGTATTTACAGCGGCCGGAGGTGTATCCCCTACTAGCAGGTTCTCTTTTGCACCCCCTAGTTTGCTGGAACTAGTCCTGCTGTAGGCACGGCCGCATAGCGGGAGGCGAGCGGCTGCTGCAGTCTGCGTTAACCCTGTTCAGACCACGGTCTCCACTTGCCTCCCGCTGTGTGGCCTGGTCATCTTCCTAGGACACGTGGCCCTGGCCCACCAGGCAAATGCCCAGTGTGCCCTATGGCCAGTCCGGGCCTGTGCAGAATCATCTTGTTTCTAGTGCTCTGCTACACATGCTTTTATGGAGCTCTCCTATGCAGGATAGGTATCAGAATGAAGGACCTAGGCTTACTGTTGCATCGTTGCTGTCATTGACCGCCAGCTGTGTTTCCAGCACTGAACCTGTAAGGACGCACTGAGTCTGAGTGCCATTTTAAGGTCCATAGATGTGGATTTGTGTTGGTTACATCACTTTGATATCGCTTGGCAACTTATTTTGGATCATTCAGAATTTATTGATGGATGCATCTGACCTGCAGTTGGCCTCCTTCTGACCTGCATTTGACCTGCTTTAAACAGGTTTCACATTCTCATAGACATGTACAGGAATGCAAAACCTGCTAGAAGAGAATAAAAACCATCAATACAGGTGCTAAAACAGACCTGGGATAGGCAACTACTGTCCCAGCAACATTTTAAAAGGGCACCTGAGACTCAACTCGTTAATAGCTGTAGCTTTAAACAAACTTTAAAAAAGCATTTTGCAAGCTTCTATGGTTGTACGGTATGTATCACAGGTGGAAGCCTCCATGGACCTCGCTATTAATTGCCATATATAGGACAGTCTCACCACATGTAGACCAAGTAGCCGAGTGTCCTCCTTGACTCTGTGTCCAGGAACCGCAGTGTCCATGCATTGATGTAGAGCTGTGTCCGGGGTCTCACCAGAGTGGCACTAAATATCCAGATGTGAACTAGAAGCCGGTGCGCGCTCTGGCATCTCCCAGGGGGATCTCTCAGGATAAGGAGATGAGATCCCTTCTGCCTACATGTTTTGCCCCTCTGTCTCTGCTGCTATTCCACCTCTTAAAGCAACCTCCCAGAGAAATTTCCACTATGGACTACACGTGGGTGCCCCATGTCGACTGGTCAACCAGTAGGTATGTTGTAAAACAGGGTAATAAACCCCAATAATTCATCCTCATATCCACATTACTCCCCAAATCTGGGCCGAATCCAATTAATTACTATTTATACCTGACTGATGACCAAGCATCTGTATGAATACTGTATTCTGAAGCCCAAAGACCATGTATATGTCATGCGTAAATAGATTTTAAAAGTTGAAAACAAACCATTGTTGTCACCATCACAATTTCATTTTCATCCTCATTCACTGTAAACTGGAAAGGGGTACTGACTCCTCGAACATCTCCATTCTGGTCCACATAGCAGAACTGATAGTCTTCATCATCCTTGGGCAGATAATAGGCTGCGAGAGAGGTTCTCATGTTACCATCTGGGCTTTAATACAGATTCTATTAATGATGGTTGAGCTAAATGTATACAAATCTGAAAGAAATACAAGATAGAAAACTACAGCACACATCTGATGGATTCTCTAGAAAATTTTCCCTTCACTTCTAACTTGTCTATGAAACAGCTTTCACACTTGTGCAGGTGGAAGCCACTGTGGGACCGCACACAAGTTGCAACCAACCGCACACAAAACTCAGGACCCACAGACTGGTGCCATTAATTGTAATAGCACGCACTGGAAATCACACCCGCAAAATGGCACTAGTGTGAAGCGAGCCTAATAGAATACCTCCAAATTCAAAGCAAAATCTGTTCAGGATGCAGTCTCTCAACCAAGGATCTGTGGAACCCTACAGTTTCTCCAGAAATTGCTAGGGGTTCCTTAAGCACTGAGCAACCTCTTCCTCTCAGATGGGTAACCACTGACAGCAATGATCTTTTAGCTATCTTGTAAGGGTAGGACTCTTCCCAAAAACCACAAATGTATGGAGCGTTCTTTCCACTGACCATCACACTAATGTACCGTGAATTGTATAGTAATTATTAGCAGGGGTTCCGTGAGACCTGAAAGTTGTTTCAAGGGTTCCTCCGTGTTAAAAAGGTTAAGAAAGATGTGTAAATGCTACATTGGAACTGCAACTGTGCTGGAGCCAGAACTAAGCTTACCTGGATAGAGTAGGAAAGGGTGAGAACTGAAATCCTATGTGATATACAGTATGTCTTGCTCAACATTTCTGTGTTGCAGAAAACTTGGCAAACTAGGAACACATTTTAACAAATATACCTGCAAGTTACTTTCCACAAGGTGATTTTGAAAGATCAAGGGGAGTGCATTTTTAGAGAGAGAAGTGTAGTGAGTTAGAATATATGTCACATATGTTTTTTTTGCCATCTGTCACCTATTGAGATTTCTTCTAATTTCCCATCTTGATGAAAGGAGGTCACCAGGACAGGGAGTCAATCGCTCTTGCAGAAAAGCAATAGTAGTTTTAGCTTTTTCTCAGTTCTACTAAAAAAAATAGTAATTTAAACTGCCTATTTTTATGTAGATTTACCCTTCTTGTCTCAATGGGGGAGTGGGGGGTGGAATCTCTCCAATTAAACACAGCAATAAAAAAGAAGCCACACTACTAATCTTTGACCAGAGCAAGCAGAGGATGATTGAAGAGTATAAAGTACAATACATGGCTGTGAAATCATCTATTTAACCACTTAAAAAAATCAGCATGTGTTGCTAGAAAATGATTGAGAAACCCCAAGCATTGAATATTTTTTAAGTGGAGGCCCTGGAGAATAAAATGGTGGTTGCTGCAATTTTTTACCTCACAGGATATTTGCACAGCCATTTTTTAAATAAAAATTTTCACACAGAAATACACTTTTATTAATTTTAGTGCGCAAAAACACAATAAAATAACCACATTTTTGGTCAAATATATAAAAACCCAGTTCCAAGAAAGTTGGGACGCTTTGTAAAATCTACTTAAAAACAAAATGCAATGATTTGCAAATCTCATAAACCCATATATTATTCACAGTAGAAAATGGAAAACATATCAAATGTTTAAACCAAGAAAAGTTTCCATTTTAAGAAATAAAATAAGGTAATTTTGAAATTGAATTACAGCTGCAGCCATCATCATGGTATAACCACTTCAACCCAAGGATATACAGGTACATCCTAAGGGCATGAAGTGATTAAAAAAGTTCACGAGAAATTATGCATTTTAGCAAAGTTTCCTAAGAAAAGATTCTAACCTTTGAATAAAACTTGGTTATCCACACTTGTTGACAGTGAAACCCATGTGTAATATTCTTTTGTGTTTTGCCATCCAACCTAAAGAACAAAAATCCATAAACAAAGGACATTATTAGCTTTACATGTCACAAAGCCAAAGGATTAAACTTGTAAACAAGAAATTATCCAAAATTGTTCATAAAGATCCAGGCAGATGTTAAAGTCCAACTCCAGGGCAACATTCAAAATTAACATGTGTGCTGGCAAGCATGTACATGAACATTATTCCTCTTTGTCAAAAAAGATAGTTACTACGATAGTCATTGTTCTTATGCATGTTCTCTTGATCTCCTGACCACAGGATTGGACTCTTATCTGCATGGTACTCAGTCCCCTCACCCCCCCTCCTGTAGTTCTCAGTGCTGGCATTTAGCCTTTCTGAAGGTATGGGCAGAAGAACCATAATAGATAAGAAAGTGGGAAACCTGGAGATGGGCTTCAAAGGAAACATTTCCTGATAGAAGCGTAAAAAAACTGCAATTGATGTCTTCTCAATCTTGCCTGGCAGTCATTCTGAGTGTATTGCTTCAATAGTTTGAGTCACTAATGTGGAACATGTATGCAGATAAACCAGTTCTAATGTTCTTTAACTGCTGGGCATAATAGCCAGGAAACTAAAATGATCACAAAGCTAAAATGTATGTATAGCTAAACATTATCATTTTAGTCCTGAGTAGGGTAGAATAAAACCATCATTTTTGGTTTTGGTTTTTGATTTCGCTATCACAATAGGGAAATTTGACTTTACTTCCTGTCTTGGAGATACAACAGGAAATTTGTAGATAGGTGGTAGAATAGGTCCCCTTAAGGTGCCTCCTCCCCCTGGGAGAAAGTTAGGAGGTTAGGCAGGAATATGGAGGAAGGTGGGTCAGACTGGAGAGCAAAAAGAAGAAGCAACATCTAGCTGCTGTGCTCCTGCTCCTCCCCCTCTGGGAGAGGGCAGGGTGCCCCAGGGTTCCCCACCATAGCCCCAAGAGAGAAGGAGAGCTCCAGTGGGACAGTTTAGGTTCAGAGGAAGACCTCGAGAGATGGTTTACCCCTCAGCTCTTCCCCTCTCTATTCCAAGAAGAGAAAGGGAAGAAGAACTATAGGGAGTGAGAACCCTTTGACAGAAAACACAAGCAGCCTCCAGCAGGACCTAATATCCAATCTTCTTTACATGCTGCCTATGGAACTGTGTTGGGGTCTGTGACCTGAAAGAGCCATATCATTGTTTAAGGTTCTACAGTAAAAGAATAAAAAGTTGACGCATTTACGGATTATTTACATACAACGCGCAGTTTGTATGTACTTCTGGTAAGTGCATTATTATACTATCACTTCACGTAACACTTGGCATTAAGCTACACCGCTTGACCTCAATAGCTATTGGAATACCATCCTATTTGGGACTCATATAGTGTATATGAACATTTTATGGACTTATATCAGTCCTTGCTTTTTATGGTATTACTTTAATCTAGTGCTGCATACCCAAAACTTTTTATTGTGTTACTGAGGTGCCGAGGTATACCTTTATATGCTAGCAGCTTCCTATCACGTCTGCCTAATCTGTACTAAATTGCGCTCGTTCATCTTGTTTATTCTACAGTAAAAGAGCTTAAATTACATCCAGCCTCGGTATGCCCTATTCGGTCACAATGCTGCTCTGAAGAGAGCGAGAGAGTTCTACTAATGTCACCTGGCTGTCAGGCTTGAGAGAGGTGAGACCAGCGTCTGGGACCCCTGAGAGTGAGACAGGTGAAGCCATACAAACAGTTGGGTGGAGAGGAGGTCCAGTGTCCAGCTGCCACCCACACATCGGGGAGAGTCATTAGGCAAAAGGGTTGTGCTGCCCAGAAGGTCAGTTCACATTGGGGTTCAGCTCGGCTTCTCGCTTGAGGCAGCCTGCCACCCAACAAAACGTTAGAGAAAATGATCCTCTCTTAGCCACTTGCATACCGTCTGCCCACAATGTACTGCAAATGGGTGGCCTGTACAGGCACAGCAACAAGCCTGTACGTAGTGCCCCACGTCCACTGACACGCTGTGATTGTGCACAGCGGGAGTTAGTCAGCAGGTCCCAGCCAATGATTCCTGCTGATTGGCTGTCTCAAATCACAGCCCAGAACCCAGTGTTGATTAACAATCAACACAGGGCTCTGTACAGAGGCAACAATCTCTTTGTTTCTCCTCCCTGCAAGCAGAGAGATATTTAGTAAAAGCAAGCACATAAAACACACATTACACATTGTTAGGCACACATTTTACCAGTTGATAACCTGAGATGTTAACCCCTTCCCAGCCATTGTCATTAGTACAGTGACAGTGTATAGTATTATCAGTGATCACTGTATTAAAGTGTTACTAAACCCAGGACCCTGCATTCACTACAGTATCTCACAGAAGTGAGTACACCCCTCACATTTTGACAACACTGAAGAAATGACACTTTGATACAATGTAAAGTAGAGTGTACAGCTTGTATAACAGTGTACACTTGCTGTCCCCTCAAAATACCTCAACACACAGCCATTAATGTCTAAACCGCTGGCAACAAAAATGAGTACACCCCTGAGTGAAAATGTCCAAATTGGGCCCAATTAGCCATTTTCCCTCTCCGGTGTCATGTGACTCGTTACTGTTACAAGGTATCAGGTGTGAATAGGGAACAGGTGTTAAATTTGGTGTTATTGGTCTAACTCTTTCATACTGGTCACTGGAAGTTCAACATGGCACCTCATGGCAACAAACTCTCTGAGGATCTGAAAAAAAGAATTGTTGCTCTACATAAAGATGGCCTAGGCTATAAGATTGCCAAGACCCTGAAACTGAGCTGCAGCACAGTGGCCAAGACCATACAGTGGTTTAACAGGACAGGTTCCACTCAGAACAGGCCTCGTAATGGTCGACCAAAGAAATTGAGTGCACATGCTCAGCATCATATCCAGAGGTTGTCTTTGGGAAATAGACATATGAGTGCTGCCAGCATTGCTGCAGAGGTTGAAGGGGTGGGGGTCACTCTGTCAGTGATCAAACCATACGCCGCACACTGCATCAAATTGGTCTGCATGACTGTCGTCCCAGAAGGAAGCCTCTTATAAAGATGATGCACAAGAAAGCCCACAAACAGTTTGCTGAAGACAAGCAGACTAAGGACATGGATTACTGGAACCATGTCCTGTGGTCTGATGAGAACAGGATAAACTTATTTGGTTCAGATGGTGTCAAGCGTGTGTGGCGGGAACCAGGTGAGGAGTACAAAGACAAGTGTGTCTTGCCTACAGTCAAGCATGGTGGTGGGAGTGTCATGGTCTGGGGCTGCATGAGTGCTGCTGGCACTGGGGAGCTACAGTTCATTGAGGGAACCATGAATGCCAACATGTACTGTGACATACTGAAGCAGAGCATGATCCCCTCCCTTCGGAGAATGGGCCGCAGGGCAGTATTCCAACATAACGACCCCAAACACACCTCCAAGATGACCACTGCCTTGCTAAAGAAGCTGAGGGTAAAGGTGATGGACTGGCCAAGCATGTCTCCAGACCTAAACACCATTGAGCATCTGTGGGGCATCCTCAAACGGAAGGTGGAAGAGCGCAAGGTCTCTAACATCCACCAGCTTCGTGATGTCGTCAAGGAGGAGTGGAAGAGGTCTCCAGTGGCAATCTGTGAAGCTCTGGTGAACTCCATGCCCAAAAGGGTTAAGGCAGTGCTGGAAAATAATGGTGGCCACACAAAATATTGATACTTTGGGCCCAATTTGGACATTATCACTTAGGGGTGTAGTCACTTTTGTTGCCAGAGGTTTAGACATTAATGGCTGTGTGTTGAGTTATTTTGAGAGGACAGCAAATTTACACTTATACAAGCTATACACTCACTCATGTCACATTGTAGCAAGGTGTCATTTCTTCAGTGTTGTCACATGAAAAGATATAATAAAATATTTACAAAAATATGAAGGGTGTACTCACTTCTGTGAAATACTGTATATCTGGTCTCTCACAGTACACAGAACATGGAAGCGCAATTATTTTTTAGTAAATATAAACTGCTAAATACCTTTTCTCACCAGCAGTTAGACCAGTCTTGTGACTTCAAACAGTGTCCAGCCGAGCACTGGTTAAAGCTTGTAGGAGGAGTTTTCATTCTTCTCTAGGAGGATGCAGAACCCCTAACCTCTGTCTGGACAGTGCTGATTGGACCTGTGCTGATCACATGCACTCTCCCAAGAAAAAAAAAAACTCTCAGGAGATAGAAAGGGGACACTGGAAGAAGGATCAGAGAAGTCAGGATCAAACAGCTTTTTTCACAATGCAGAGGATTAACCCCTTAGGTTCTACAGTGAGTATAGCAAGAATGCTTTACTGCATATACAGACTGATTTTACTGTTGTGGGTTTACTAACACTTTAATGTCACTGGTAATGTCAATGGCAGTTAGTTACTTAGTATCAGATTGCCCGCCGCATTATCACAGTCCTATTATAAGTCGCTGATCACCGCCATTAGTAGTATAACAAATAAATAAATACAAATTCTAGTATATATACAGTGAGGAACAGAAGTATTTGAACACCCTGCGATTTTGCAAGTTCTACTTAGAAATCATGGAGGGGTCTGAAATTCACATTGTGGGTGCATTCCTACTCTGAGAGACAGAATAAAAAAAAATTCAGGAAATCACATTGTATGATTTTTAAAGAATTTATTTGTCTTGCACTGCTGAACATAAGTATTGGAACACCTAAGAAACAGCAAGAATACTGGCTTTCGAAGACCTGTTACTGTGCCTTTAAAAAGTCCACCTCTACTCCACTCATTAATCTAACTTAGTAGCACCTGTCTGAGCTCTTTAAAGACACCTGTCCACCCCACAGTCAGTCAGACGCCAACTACTACCATGGGCAAGACCAAAGAGCTGTCAAAAGACACCAGAGACGAAATTGTGGACCTCCACAAGGCTGGAAAGGGCTACGCGGCAATTGCCAAGCAGCTTGGTGAAAATAGATCAGCTGTTGGAGCAATTGTTAGAAAATGGAAGAGGCTAAAGACGACTGTCAGTCTCCCTCAGACTGGAGCTACATGCAAGATCTCACCTCGTGGGGTATCACTGATGATAAGAAAGGTGAGGAATCAGCCCAGAACTACAAGGGAGGAGCTGGTCAATGACATGAAGAGAGCTGGGACCAGAGTTTCAAAGGTCACTGTCAGTAGAACACTACGCCGTCATGGTTTCAAATCATGCATTGCACGGAAGGTTCGCCTGCTCAAGTCATCACATGTCCAGGCGCATCTGAAGTTTGCCAATGACCATATGGATGATCCAGAGGAGGCATGGGAGAAAATCATTAGGTCAGATGAGACCAAAGTAGAACTTTTTGGTCTAAACTTCACTCGTCGTGTTTGGAGGAAAAAGAAGGATGAGTTGTATCCCAAGAACACCATCCCTACTGTGAAGCATGGAGGTGGTAACATCATGCTTTGGGGGTGCTTTTCTTTGAAGGGGACAGGACTACTGCACTGTATTAAGGAGAGGATGAATGGGGCCATTTATTGTGAGATTTTGAGAAACAACCTCCTTCCCTCAGTCAGAGCATTGAAGATGGGTCGTGGCTGGGTCTTCCAACATGACAACGACCCGAAGCACACAGCCAGAATAACCAAGGAGTGGCTCCGTAAGAAGCATATCAAGGTTCTGGAGTGGCCTAGCCAGTCTCCAGACCTAAATCCAATAGAACATCTTTGGAGGAAGCTGAAACTTCATGTTGCTCAGTGACAGCCCCGAAACCTGACAGATCTAGAGGAGATCTGTGTGGAGGAGTGGGCCAAAATCCCTGTTGCAGTGTGTGCAAACCTGGTCAAGAACTACAGGAAACGTTGACCTCTGTAATTGCAAACAAAGGCTTCTGTACCAAATATTAACACTGATTTTCTCAGGTGTTCAAATACTTCTGTTCAGCAGTGCAAGACAAATAAATTCTTTAAAAATCATACAATGTGATCTCCTGAATTTTTTTTTTTATTCTGTGTCTTAGAGTGGGAATGCACCTACAATGTGAATTTCAGACCCCTCCATGATTTCTAAGTGGAAGAACTTGCAAAATTGCAGGGTGTTCAAATACTTCTGTTCCTCACTGTACCATAGTTTGAAAAGGCTATAACTTTAGCACAAACCAATCAAGACACATTTATTGGGATTGTTTATTTACCAAATACATGTAGCAGAATACATTTTGGCCTACATTTATGAAGAAATTTAAATTTTTCTATTTTTTTCGATATGTTTTATAGCAGAAAGTAAAAAAATAAAAAAAAATAAAAAATGTTCAGTAATTTTTTCATTTATATAATAAAAAAATAAAAAAAAACCAGCAGTAATTACATACCACCAAAAGAAAGCTCTAAAATTATATAAAATGTATTTGGTTACAGTGTTGCATGACCGTGCAATTACCAGTTAAAGTAGCGCAGTGCCGAACAGCAAAAAATTGCCTGGTCATGAAGGGGATAAAACTTTCTAAACCTCAAGTGGATAAGCATCTGTCACCAGAACAAATGTCTACATTGGAAGATATCCCCCGTACAGAGGGGTTAAATCTCCTTAGTGGAAACACAGACAACGTTGAAAATCTGAGCGAGGTCCTAATCAAAACCATAAAGAATATTGACTGTAGGTTCACTTTAAGGCACATTTAATGGGCACAAAATTGGCACAAAAATGCAAGGCTTTTTCTGAATGGAGACAGTCCTGAGCGAGCAACCCCCTGTGGTTATTATGCACCATGGCAGCCTAGGCTCCTCCTTGGCTCTGATGTATACCATGCACAAGAGGAGGAGAAGCCAGGAGGAGGAACGTCCCCCGTATTCAGCCATAATGATCTGAGGTCTGTTTAAGGGAGGAAAAATTGCACTGGAGGGCTGTATGATGAAGGGGGGGGGGGGGAGCAAGAGGATTTGTACTGGAAGGGGGAGGATTTGTGCTGGAAGGGGGAGGATTTGTGCTAGAAGGGGGATGGGGGGGTTTTGTGCTAGAAGAGGGGAGAGGATTTTTACTGGGAGGAGAGAGTTGTGCTAGAAGCAGTAATTTGGGTTGAGGATTGGTACTGGGAGGGGGTCACAGAAATTTGAACTGGAAGGGCAAGAGGATCTGCGGGTAAGGCACAGATTTTCTTACTATGATATATATATATATATATATATATATATATATATATATAAATATGTGTGTGTGGGGTTTTTTTTATATTACAGGTACTTATGTAGAGCCGTCAATTTACGCAGTGCTTTACATATATATTGTACGTTCACATCAGTCCCTAACCCTCAATCTAAGGTCCCTAACTTACATTCATACATACACATACTAGGGCCACTTTACCTACCAGCATGTCTTTGGAGAGTGGGAATACCCGGAGTACCCGGAGTAAACCAAAGCAGGCACAGGAAGAACATGAAAACTCCAGGCAGGTGGTGCCGTGGTTGGGATTCGAATCAACGACCCGAGTACTGCCAGTATATTATATGTATACAAGTGCAGCTAACACTACCTTCTTGACATTGCTGCTTTCCAAAGGTGTCTTTGTTAGGAGTGGACACATCAAAAGACAGAAAGTGTCACTGTTAAATGGTTTGTCTCAACACTCTAACTGATACATTTTCAGGAGAGCTTGTTCTGTTGAAAAACAACAGACTTACTGGCTGAATCACAAGATGAAAATAAAGGAAAAAAGCCTAAAAAAGAAATCTAATGCAGCCATCCCATCTAATGATATAAGCTGCAATATATTCCATTTTTTGTTTATTGCTACTTTCATAGTTTTACTTTATTCACAGCATGTGGGCACCTTTTCTATAGATCACAGTGCCAGTACTATTATTAACTAACTTATTGCACTTTTAACACTGTACCAGCAAATGTTACTACTTCTAGCCACTAAACGTCAACATATGTATATTGTAAGGTAAAATGTATTTTCTATGGAAAAACAAAAATGGTACTACACTGTATTTTGGGCTAACTAGGTCCTGGCTGTACGGAGAATTGTATATGTGTATAGCAATTTCATACCAACTTACCTTAAAAATTCCTATCCAGTCTTTGGTGCCAGACTTGAATTTGTTTCTTTTGTGAAAGGTGCATAGAATATCAGTTTTAGGTGGATAAGAATTGTTTATGTTTGGGAAGATGACTTGTGAATAGTTTTCAAAGCTCCCTGGATTCATGGATGTGGGGGGTCCATCTTGTCCTCTATCTGTTTGTACGGTACCTTGCTCCTCTTGCATTTCTAAAGCACTTTCAGCCTCCATGTCACTTTCCCTGGGTGAATTCTACATATTGAAATAGAAAAACAGAAGAACATTTGTTTCAGATGCGTTACTAACTCTTAAAAACACCTACTTTTAGTCACACAAATTAGTCTTCTATACTGTTCTGTATTCACATCATCGGGAAGTCTGAATCACACATCAGTTCAGTTCTAGTTTAGCTTTCAGGAGAACACCAGTGAAGGCTTCCCTTCTCCCTTTGATACGCATATGCCTGTAAGTTCTTTCGCTGTTTTTGTTAAAGTCACATACATAGCTAGATTGCATTTCAATTTATTCAATGTCATTTGTAGGTAGCTGTTTGTATGAAATGTGCTCACTGTATACATTTGTGAGAGACATGCATACAAGCATATTGTAACTTTAGTTTATGTGATTGTATTGCAGTTTTACAGAACTAGTTAATTCAGTGGTATTGGGCTGAATGTTCACTGAACACACAAATGATATGGGCATTCAGCGGGCTGCTTACCCGCCGCACCCCACAATGCATTGCACCCTGACAGTGCATTGTGATTGGTCAAAGCAATGCACCTGACCACAGGTTAGGTGCAATGCTTTGGCCAATCACAGCACAGGATGACGTCATGACAGTATTTAAGAATTGTCATCGCGGCGCAGCTGTCTGACAGCGGGAGCCAGCATCAGGCTTTTTCTTTTTTCAGATAGCAGCGAAGGCGGGCATCGTGATTGATATTTTTTTTATTCTTATTTTAAATAAAGGACTTGTCAAAGACTGTCTCCTGTCTTTTTACACTACACTTTTGTTTGTGAATGGGTAGCAGTACCATGTACCACATACTCAGACACATGGGGAGGCAGGATCTGGGGGCCCCCTTGTTAAAGGGGGCTTCCAAATTCCGATAAGCACCCCACCCGCAGACCCCCACAACCACAGCCCACGGTTGTGGGGAAGAGGTCCTTGTCTCCATCAATATGGGGGAGACCCCCCGGCCCCAAAATGCCCCCCCTATGTTGAGGGCCTGGTATAGTTTGGGGGGGAGGGTTTGCTCACTCATCGGCCCATCCTTTCCTTACCTGCCAGGCTGCATGCTCGGAGAAGGGTCTGGTATGGATTTTGGGAGAGACCCCCTTGCCACTTTTTAAAACATTTTGGCATGGGGGTTCCCTTCAAAATCCTTACCACACCGGAAGGGCTTGGTATGGATGGGAGGGAGGACCCCCACATCGGTTTTTTTTTTTTTTTTTTTATAATTGTTGGGCAATGCTGACAATCTGTTTTACATTCAGCTGTCAGCGGGGAAGCCCCCACAGCTGAAACATGAAAGAATGTTTCACTACTAAAATACTGCATGACTTAATATAACTCATGCGGTATTTTAGTAACTGAGCGGTATCATACCACATACTCAGATGCAGTAAGATACCACTCAGTAAATTATTTGTGTTCGAAGTTCGCTGTCGAACATTTTGCAGGTTCGAATGTTCAACCGCGAACCAAACGGGGGGTGTTCGGCTCATCATTAGAATTCAGTTTTGGAATGAAACACAACGCTGCTTTCGTCAGATTTGTCAGCTAGTATTCGGCTAAGTGTTAGTAGGACAGCATATATACTGTACAATTTAAAATCAGACCTACAGACAAATTAAAAATAAAACTTGAACTGTATCTAAATCCAAGAATAATACTGTATCTCAGATTACCAGTTCCTAGATGTGACAGCTGCATTCATTTTCTTAATCCATCCTTTTTTTTCTTTTATTCACCTGGCAATCCTGCCAGTAACACACTTCCCGTTCTAGGATGGCAATTCACTCACTGTACCGTATCTATGGAGGAGCAGAGTTGTCACCCTAGGACAAGAAGTGAGTTAGGATTACAGAAATCTTCCCAACTGTTCTTTTTGAAAACTCTAGGAGTTCTGTAATCCATAGCAACAACTGGAAATAGAGCTAATAAAAGTGTGTATAGGAAGTTAGGGGCTCACAAGATTTCTGGCAGGATTAACAGGTGTTTTTGCAATTTACGAACACATTTATCAAGACTCTTTCAATGGTATTTTGAATAGACAAAAAGAGTAAAAAAGTTAATTGTTATGGTTGACATATATTCAGTGACGGAGGAGATTTTTTAATTAATTCCATGCCCCCCATAAGTACTGATCCCACAAATATCGCCCCCATGTGAGGCTCTGTACACCAGTATGACTGGATCTGTGCAGCTTCATTGGAAGGCAAGTGTGACATCAGGGGTCTTTTAGACCCATGATGGTTCAATAAAGAGAACCTGTCACCAATTAAAAAAATCACATAAGGGACCTTTTTGTCCCCTATGTGATGAAAAATAAAGAAAAAAAATTATAAAGTGTAAAAAAAATGTAAGTTCCACCCAAACACTTAAAACCCCCATTCCCCAAAAACGTTTGAGTTTCCCCCCCACACATACATGCCAGTACAAACGTAAATGGATACATCAGTTGCAGAATGTTGAAGACTGGTATAGCCGGCACTCGTCTTCCCGAATAGTAAACTTTATTGAACAAGTAAAATGTGCATATAAAATGGCTTACGCGTTTCGGCAATAAGCCTTAGTCATAGCCATGCACCTAAGCATGAAAATGTCAATTGCGCTACACGTTACATATTCCTGGCTGGACAGAGATCAATAATTCAAGGTTAACTCTAAACTGTTGACCTGTAGGGGCTTTTGGAAAATGTAGGATACCAGTTTCATGGGTGCACGAAATTTAAGCCTTGACATGTTGGGTATCTATTTGCTCGGCGTAATCTTATCTTTTATATTTTACAATAAAATAAGATAATATATTGCGTGTTTGTGCCCTAAAATTAATTTTAGTGTAACATTTACTGAAAATTTGCATTTCATAAACTGTTGCACTAAACTCGTGTGGCATAGAAAAAAAATTTAAACTATCATCATTTTATTCTCCAGGGTGTCTGTTTTTAGAAACCACTGTATATAAAATCTGGCAGTTTCAACTAATCTTCAGGCCTAAAATGATAATACAAATGTGCCAAAAACACAAAACTCTTTCGCTGCTTGGAATTTATCTACCTTGATTTACAGTCAAGTAAGCAGGCTTAAGGCGTATCTAAACCCAAGAACACATTTGACAGTCTTGGAGCTTACTGGTATTTAGATGTGGTGGCTACATTAGTTTTCTTTTTCCACGCCTTTTTTCCTTTATTTTTATCCAGTAGTCTTGCCATTAACACACTTTCTGTCTCAGGGTGACAACTGTCCTGAGCAGTGTTGTCATCCTAGGACAGGCAGCATGTTAGGGCAACTTAACACTGTGTTAGGTCAACATAACACCTCCCTCTTTTTTTCATAACAGGGGAAGGTGGCTTATAGTCCATGGAGATAGCTGGGAACAGTTCCAACTGCTAACTGTGCAGAAGCAAAGAGTACAAGCAAATTTATTGTTAGAGTTTACATACGCTTTAAGAGCAAAGATGCACCATAATAAGCAGCAGGACTGTAAGTACTGGTAGGGATGTTATCAATGTTTGTCTATAGCTATTACTTGACTATAGATGTGCAGAGAAAAGGCAGACTGTGAAGAATGTAGGCATTATCATGGTTTTTTATTAACCACTTGCCTACCGGGCACTTTTACCCCCTTCCTGTCCAGACCAATTTTCAGCTTTCGGCACTCTCATACTTTGAATGACAAATGAGCGGTCATGCAACGCTGTACCCAAACAAAATTTTTATAATTTTTTTAGACAAATAGAACTTTCTTTTGGTGGTATTTGATCACCACTGGGGTTTTGATTTGTTGCTAAACAAACTAAAAAAGACCAAAAATGTTGAAAAAAAAAAGTTTTTCTTAGTTCCTGTTATAAAGTTTTGTATAAGTAATAAGTAATTTTTCTCCTTCACTGATGGGCACTGATGAGGAGTCACTGATGAGCACTGGTGGGCTGCACTGATGAGGCTGCACTGATATGCTGCACTGATGGGTACTGATGAGGAGTCACTGATGGGCACTGATAGGTTGCACAGATGGGCACTGATGAGGCTGCACCAATGGGCGGCACTGATCGGCACTGTTAGATGGTACTGATGGACAGCACTGATGGGCACTGTTAGATAGCACTGATGGGCACTGTTAGGCAGCACTGATGGGTACTGATAGGTGGCACTGATGGGCACTGTTAGGCGGTACTGATGGGCACCGATAGGTGGCACTGGTGGGCACTGTTAGACAGCACTAATGGGCATTGATAGGCGGCACTGATGGGCAATGATAGGCAGCACTGATGGGCACTGTTAGGTGGCACTGATAGGCGGCACTGATTCAACTGATGGGCACTGATTGCCAGCACAGAAGAGCGGGCACTGATGGGCACTATTGGCCGAATTGTTGGGCTACACTGATCACCAGGTTACCGATGACCAGTGCCCTAATGATCAGTGTAGATGTCTCCCTGTGAAATGCCGCTTAACGGCTCTCTTCTCCTTGCAGTTGTGTCAGACTTGACGTTAAGCCACCGGATCAGGAGGTCCGGTGGCCATCATCTATATTTACTGGTCAGTGTATTTAAGAGCTCATTTACACTATACCTGTATAGGTACTCCAACCCTGTACGTTTACTGTTTTATCTTAATGATATATACTCAATAAATACTTTTTACAATACTACACTATGAGCATTCTCATCTCTACTACCTGGCACTGAGCCTCCACATCTCAGCCCAGCATTCTAGGAGTCCACCCAGGCAGGACAATTTGGGAAATTGGTCCAGATCAACTTCTCTGGCAGCCGTCACCCTATCCACCACCAGAGGGCACCTTTATCATCAGGCTATACCTTCATGGGACCTCCGGCTTCATGGAATTTCTATGTGCACATTAAATTGCACTTCCGGTGAGTGGGCAATTTTTCTACACCTTCATGTTAGGATGCTGGAATATACCCATTTGGATTGAAGTCGTTTATACTCCATCACTGGAATATACCTTTTTGGCCCTTGGACTGTTTAACATCCAGTTTATGGGATTTTTCCATTTTTTTCTGTCAATTCTCATACTTTAGACAGTGTGTTTTATTTATATAGCGCTGCACACCCGTCATATTCTTAGAAAGGCTTTGTGGTTCCTTTTTGTGCATCAGCACATTGGTGCGCTCGCTAAACTTTTATACTGTCCATTTTCAGATGATGGATCGAACAGTGCGCCGTGAAATGTTCAAAGCTTGGGATATTTTTTATAATCTAGCCCTGCTTTAAACTTCTCCACAACTTTATCCCGGATCTGTCTGGTGGGTTCCTTGGCCTTCACAATGCTGTTTGTTCACTAATGTTCTCTAACAAACCTCGGAGGGATTCGCAGAACGGCTGTATTTATACTGGGATTAAATTACACACCGGTGGACTCTATTTACCAATTAGGTGACTGCTGAAGGCAATTGGTTCCACTAGATTTTAGTTAGGGGTATCAGAGTAAAGGGGGCTGAATACAAATGCATGCCACATTTTTCACTTATTTATTAAAAATGTAATAATTTTCCTTCCACTTCACAGTTATGTGCCACTTTGTGTTGGTTTATCACATAAAATCCCAATAAAAAAAATTTAGGTTTTTGGTTATAACATGACAAAATGTGGAAAATTTCAAGGGGTATGAATACTTTTTCAAGGGACTGCAGATTTATCACCCAGTCAGATTTGGTGATCAGATTTTTTTTGGTGAAAAAAAAATGAGAACTGAGCCAGGAAGTTACCATTTTACACATTATCAGTATAACTGCAGGATTGCTTGTGCTGTAAAGCATCCAGCAGTGTGTATCTCCTCACTTCCTCCTCCAGCAACCCTCAGGGGGAATTCATTATCACCTATATGACAATTTAGTACACAGATATTCCTGAAAGATGCATGACACATTCAGTTTAACAGAGACAATATGTTGCTGTTTGAAACTGCTGTGCCAATACTGACGCAGACATTATCTACTTCCCGGCAAACCCTATAGCAGAAATACTGCAACAGGGTGGCACGGGTGCACAAAATCACGAATATATACGTGATTTTCCATTTACGAGCGAGAGCGAGGAGCGGGCGCATGCACCCTACCCGCCCCACTGTTCGCAGCCACGAATCAATGGGATCCGGTGATTGACAGCCGCAGCCACATATACCACCAAAAGAAAGCTCAATTCGTGGGAAAAAAAGGACGTAAATTTCATTTGGGTGCATCATGGCCTGGTCAGCAAGGGGGGTAAAAAAAGAGCTGAGAATTTAAAAAAAAAACATGTTTGACTTTTGGCTATAAAACATATCTAGTAAAAAAAATTTAAAAATCTAATTTCTTCATAAATTTAGGCCAAAATGTATTCTGCTACATGTCTTTGCTAAACAAAAATCCCAATACTTGTAAATTAATCGATTTACATGAAAGTTATAGCGTTTACAAATGGCAGTATATATACTGGAATATTTATTCAATTTTTTTTTATACTAGTAATGGCGGCGATCAGCGACTTCAGGCAGGCATTCTGACACTGGGTGGGAACCGGCTAACTGCCACTGACATCCCCAGTGACACTAATACAGTGATCAGTGCTAATAAAAAGCACTGACATTGTACTAATGACACTGGGCAGGAAGGGGTTAACGTCTGGGGTGATCAAAGGGTTAACTGTGTGCTGTGTGTGTTTTACTTGGGAAACATGCTGCTGTGTATTTCTTTGCTGTGCAGAGAAATACACAGTAGCATATTATTGCTGTCAGGAGAGAGACCTTTGTTGTTTACACAAAAGTCTCTCCCCTGCAACTGTTTCTCGGCAATCGGGAAATCTTCGGTGATCCCCCTACCTGGAATTACAAAATCACGTGTATATATATATATATATATATATATATATATATATATATATATATATATGTGTGTGTGTGTGTGATTTTGTGCAGCCCTGCCGCCCTGTAGCAGTATTTCTGCTATAGGGCAGCAGGGAAGCGGTTAAAGTTGATCTTGTGTGTCTCAGGTATAAAGAAGAAATTTTGGGATTGCTTTTATTAACCCCTTGACGCCAACGTCACACAAATAGGCGGCCTCACAGACAGAACTTGGCTTTTTTATGTGGGGCCGCATATTTGGGTACCTGTGTGCTGGGAGTGCGCCGCAAAGCGCACCCTTCCAGCACAAAGACCGGGGTGTCACTGAGAGCCCCGGGTCCCATTCTAACAATCGGGACCCGGGACACCCGATTCCGGGTCACATGACTGCTGTGATAGCCTCTGATTGGCTATCACAGTGATCAGTCACTGGCCCCCTTGTTTTTTTTTGTTCTCTCTAAGAATGGAGGAGAGAGATACATTGCTTCTCTCTAACTCCTGGCATAGAGGGGGAAAAAAAATGTTTGTTAAAAAAAAAAAAGATAAATAAATATTAAAAAATAAAGAAAAAATACCTAGATCAAGGTTTGATCTAGTTCAGTGCCAGGATAAGGTCAAGGGCAAAAGGTCAGGGTCAAAGGTCAGGATTTATTATTTTTTTTAATTGATATTAGTGTCAGTGTCAGTGTGTTTTAGGTTAAAAAAAAAAGACAAAAAAACTAAATGTGCACTATTGTTTCTGGGCTGTACTACAGGTACAAACATACAAACAACAAATAACATACACATATATGATATCATTGTGATCGTCAAGAGCTGGAAAATGTATTTTGGGTTGTTCTTTGGTGGTAGGTTATGGTAGTAACAAGAAACACACAGCTAAATTTTAAAAAATTATTTTTTTTTTACTATTCTGGGCCAGTTTTCCTTTGATAATAAAAAAAAACAGGAGAAATCCATTACCATTTGCCACCAAATGAAAGCCCAATTTGTCCTGAAAAAAACTCGGTATAATTCACCTGGATGTACAAAGTAGTTGTGATGATATGTACGGTTTTACTAACACATGTCAACGTTGCAAAATTGTGCTTAGGCATTTAGATTTGTTTTACCCTTAGGCGTAAAGGGGTTAACATTAAAATTGCACTTACATTGATCAAAAAGTTTCAGGCACTTATTCTATACAGCAGGGCAATGGCTCCCGCGTCACTTCCGGTGGCTTCCGGTGGATCACGTCACTCAGCTCCGCCTCACGCAGTTTAATACACTATGGTAATGTCAGCTCCAGAGAAAGCTGTGATACAGTGGAGAGACATGAATGTAATAGGCAGAGAAGAGAATTACACATGGGTGTATTACAGCTTAGGCCTGTGTGAGGGCTGTGTTTATCTGCACGGGGATGCCGCAACACTTAGGTCAGTTGAGTTGCAGCGGTTGCACAGACACAGCCGCTGTTCCCAATTTGACGTCACCTGAAGCACAGAGAGTGTGAATGCTGGCGTGTGAATGAGGCCTAAAAGGGAAAAGAGGGATATTTGTTTCAAGGTTCCCCTTTCCCTCATGGCATTGTGACACTGACAGTTTCAATCCCCTTATCTCTGCACCTGAGGGGCATGAGGGGGCCTGTGGCAGGTCAGCTGGAACCTTCTAGAAAGGTTTTTGGTTCCTATATAAAATTCCCAACCTGTCTGCTCTTTGCTGCAGCCATTAACCACTTGCCTACCGGGCACTTATACCCCTTCCTTACCAGGCCAATTTTCAGCTTTCAGCGCTGCCGCACTTTGATTGACAATTGCGCGGTCATGCAACATTGTACCCATATGAAATTTTGATCATTTTTTTCTCACAAAAAGAGCTTTCTTTTGGTGGTATTTAATTGCCACTGGGCGCTTTACTTTTTGCGCTATAAATAAAAAAAGTGCAAAAAATTTGAAAAAAAAAAATTTTCTTTGTTTCTATTATAACATTTTTCAAACAGGTATTTTTTCTCCTTCACTGATGTGCGTTGATGAGGCAGCACTGATGGGCACTGATAGGCGGCACTGATGGGCACTGATAGGCAGCACTAAAGGGCACTGATAGGCAGTACTAATGAGGTGGCACGGATACGGATAGGCGGCACTGATAGACAGCACTAATATGCAGCACTGATAGGTGACACTGATGATGTGTACTGATAGACGGCACTGACTGGCATCACTGCTGGGCACTGACTGGCGGCACTGCACTGACTGGCACAACCCCTGGGCACTGACTGGTGGCACTGACTGGCAGGGCTGCACTGCTGGGCTGCACACTGGTGGGTGGCACTGGTGGGTGGGGGCACAGGTGGGTGGGCACAGGTGGGTGGCACTGGTGGGTGGCACTGGTGGGTGGCACTGGTGGGCACAGGTAGGTGGCACTTCTGGGCACAGGTGTGTGACACTGCAGAGTGGCACAGGTGGGTGATCTGCTGGGCACAGGTGGGCGGAGCTAGTGGGCGCACTGCTGGGCACAGGTGGGCGGAACTTGCGGGTGGCACTGCTGGGCACCGATCATCAGGGCACTGATCATCAGTGTCCTGATGATCGGTGCCGATCCCCGCTGTGACAACTGCCGGTTCTCGGCAGTGCTTTCCTCACGATCTGACAGCGTGAGGAAAGTGCAGCCGAGAACCAGCACTTGCATTTCCCTGTGATCAGCGTGTCATTGGACACCGCTGATCACGTGGTAAAAGGCCGCTGGGATCGGCCTTTTACCACATCACGTGATCAGCTGTGTCCGTAGGACACAGCGATCACGGAGATCGCCGGGTGCGCGCCCCCTGGGGCGTGCAGGAGAGCGCGTTCTGGGGGGACGTCATATGACGTCCACCCAGAACTGGCCGGCCGCAGTGAAGCCGTCATTCGGCTATCTGCGGTCGGCAACTAGTTAATATGCGGTGCCAGGGCCATGGGTACCACCAGTCCTCCTGTACGGGGCCCAGGCCAGAAGGGGGGCTCAGGCAGCTGGGTGAATCAGATGTGGGGAGGGTGATCGGCACGACGGGGGGGGGGTAATTACTGGATCCAACCCCCTGTATGGCTCTCTCGGCAGCAGCTGAAAGCTGACATCTCTTCTCCCTCCCGCTGGCTTTCAGCTGCTGCCGAGAGAGCCACACAGGGGATCGGTACCAGTAATTGCCCCCACCGCACCCATCACCCTCCCTGTGCACCATACATTTCCCCCTGTGTTCCCCCACCCCGGCTTCCCTCCTCTCCTCACCGGAAGCTGCAAGCACACAATAGGATCCTTCAGGATGGAGAGTGGGGGAAGGGTCCGGTAAAATATGTCACATTTATCAGCCCTTTCCTTCCCTGAACGAACATAGGTAATAATCAGTACCTGTCACTCACTGTGTTCATTTATAACTGCAGCATAGTAAACTGTGTACTTTTTTTTTTAGGGGGGGGCTGCCAGGTTGGCTGTATGGGGCCCCATGGTTTCTAACAGCAGCCCTGTGTGGTGTGCCATGTTTTCCATGCAATGTTCAGTCAAGTATGACTCCTCTGTGACCAAGCCCTGGTGGGCAGGGCGAAACGCATTAGAGGGCGTGGTTGGAGCAACGGCTGAGGCCATCTTCACATAGAACTCCATGAGTGGTTAGAGCGGCCTCCTTTCTTCCATTGCGCCCACATGACTGGAGACATTTGAGGACACCGCTCCCACTTTCATACCGGTGAGGTGATTATTGAGCTCCACCATGGAGCGGCGCCATTACGTTATATACGCCAGCTTACTGCAGGTATGAATACAGCTGGAATCATGGCGACTGATAATAAAGCTCATATCTATAGTCAAGGTCTGCGGACGATTTTTGTACAACGTTCTGCCTGTTTGTTTTTTATTGCTCATTGGTTGCCCACGGCCTGCACTCCAGTGCGGGGAAGGCTTTTGAAGTGGCGCAGCCTGTGAGGAAACCTATGATCCACACTGAAGGGCCACAGGTTATGACATTGCGGGCAGCAAGGCAGACAAACCTAAATAATTAAATATCAAAACATCAAATCTGGAGATAAAAATTGTCCACTGCCTTTTATTATTGGTTTAAAAAAAAATTATTTATGCAGAATATGGAAGCTCCTTAGATGTTTAACCCCTTTGCACCGACACCTCCTGGCCCTTTAAGAGATTCAGAAGCCAGGAGGCGGGGTGGGGTTTTAGGGTCATGTGATTCGTCACAGCAGTCACATGATTGGAAATTGTCCCGATCGCAAGGGGAGATCGGGACCTTTCCGTGAGCCGCGGACATATGTGCTGGGAGCTCACAGGGCACGCGCTCTCAGCACATATGTATTTTCAAATGGTACGCAAATATGCGACTGCGCGGCGTCAAGGCCCAGACGTCAAGAGGCCGCATATTTGCGACTAGGGGCTAACTTATTACCCCCCCGTTTTCCAGCTGACATGAGTCCACCGATGTCTCCCTCCATAACTGCTTCCCTACCGCCCTATAGCAGAATATACATGATTTAGCATCTTGTGCACACGTGTGCACGCCACCCTACCCGCACCACTACAGCTGTCGATCACTGGGTCCCGGCTGGAGATTCCCCATCAATATATGGCAATCGTCGAGGAACACTGACGGGGAGAGGTCTGTATGTAAACAATACAGATCTCTCCTCTGTCAGCAGGGCTGCTGTTAGAAACCACAGGGCCCCATACAGCGAACCTGACAGGGCCCCTCCACCAAAAAAAAAACCCCACTTCAGTTATGAATGAACACAGTGAGTGATTGTTACAGATCACTCATTGTGTTCATTCAGGAAAGGCAGGGTTTGATAAATGTGA